CGTCAGTAGCCTCAGGCTCTTTCCATAGTTCTATATCGGCCTAGATGGCACATAAAAGCAACAAGGACAGCAGTGGGTGTGTGCTTCCAATCACGCTGTCATTTGAATGGCAGTAAAAACAAGGAACTAAACACAGTGCTGAGAGCTGCCTCTCAGATTAACAGTAGCTAACATTTCATAATACACCATAAAGACTGGTTCCAGGTATTTTGTGTTCTAACAACAAGGTACACCTAGCTTTGACAGATTTTTTTCTGGGGAAGTGCTTCTTCCCCTGCCCCATTCTGCTTAGCTTTATGTCCAGAGAGTCAGGGTCCCTAAAGAAGAGTTAGCAGCTGGATGAATAGGTCATGAATGCATTCCCATGCTGAGCCCTTCACCCTCAATTAAGGTTTGAAAGTGAAATGAGGCTTCATTTGGTTTGTCAATATGAACAGACTACAAAAGCTTGACAACTCCCTCTCCTAAACCTCAGTATATTTCAAGAGTTACACTCGAGAATGGGCAATTAAAACACTGTGGAGTACATGTCACCATTATTTGATGGATATTAATAAAAATATTCCACTAAGAAAAAATATTTGGAAAAAACCAAGAGATTGTGAATACATCATTTCCTTCACCCAAAACAAGTTAATGCCTCTGCACAGCATTGAGTGGGAACATCTTCAAGACAATGGATAATTTCAAAACAATCCTTGCATGCAGGAAACCATCCTATTCCTAACAGTGGCAAATGTTGAGGCCACAGTGTTCATTATATCATCTTCAGAGAAGCATTCCTTACCCATTTCAGGTATTATGAATCCACTATATAAAAAAGTATGAATACACCAAATACTCAGCATTATTTTCAGAATTCATCCAAAAGATATCTTTACTGGGTTTTTTCTTTCTTAAAACTATATGGATTAAAAATATATTTTACACAAAGTCCTACCAGTTTTAAATTTGTCCTACCAGTTTTAAATTACTACACTTAATTCAAAAACCATTAAAGAGACACAGGAGCATCTTGGACATTTTTTTCCTCCTATAAAGCATACTGTAATTTGTAGCCAAATACAGACCATTTGTTATCCAAAGTGGAAAACTCAGTTTAGCCCAACTTCTACCAGAGATCTGGGAGGGGAGCTTTCCCTTAATTTACATGCAGTAGAAACTCACTTGGTGCTGTACTTGTAGTTCTGTTTAATGGACCAAATGCTGCTAAGAAAACAAGTTTCCTTGACCTTATAACACCTGAGATGCCTTACCTCATTCTAGGCTATGATTACCAATTTCTAAATACACTTTCAGGAAAAAAAGCACATCCTCAATACACCCACTGCTATTTAAATTAACACTAAAGACACATCATTATCTGTTACACTAATAAACTTACAAAGCAACAGACTGCGCATGAGCAGCACAGGTTCAGAGTGCCTTTTAATTGCAGTAAATCAGAGCAGCTCTTCCTAATCCTCACAATGAAAGAGCACCACACTTCACATCCTCAAGTGCTGCTCAGAAGTGCTGTTCTTCCAGCTCTTGCCTAATGGTCCTTTTCAGGAGGCAGTTAGCCTCCATAATACCTGCCATAATACCAGTTTCCAAATTACCACACTGTTCTGCAGCTCACTCCAAGCATGGTGTACAGTTGCTAGAAATCCCACGTGGTGGCTTTCTACCTTGCTGACTTGGATAGCTGTTACCAAGATGAGCAGCTCAGTAGTAAACCACTGTCCCTTGGCTGACCTCTGCAGCTACACATGAGCAGCTCTTCTCAGCCTCAGTTGCCTTGGAGTCTGACTGAATATAGACAGAGAAGAGAGGAAAAGCAAGAAAACAGCAGAAATCACCAGAAACTGAATAACCTTAAGAGCACTTAACCACAAGAGAGCATAGAGGACTCAACGCATATCAGCAGCTGATAAAGCACTCTCTGCCAAATTGTATTCTTTAAATAAACTTTTGGCAAGACTTTAGGATAGCAAAGCAGAATTTTACATATGGATTCTCATCCTGAAATAGAACAAACCTAACAGAGACCCAGGAATTTGAATCTTTAGGGCTATATATAACTCAGCTTTAGAATAATGTAAATATCTCAGTTCCTCTATATATTACAACACTTCAAACATCAATAAGTTAAAGTAGTTCTTATTGCTAAACCTAATCCTTTCCCTACTGCCGAACTCCAGCCGACCAGCCTTTCTCCTTCAACAGTCCAAGCAGAAATTCATTCTCTGACAATCCTGTGACCCGCTCTTGGTATACAATCTCCTCCACACGATCCGTGCTTGGGAAGCAGCTCTCCTTTCCTTTTCTTGGCTGATATCAATAAATTGCTGGATATCAGTTATCTCTCTCCTCCCAGGCTGTTCTTTGGCAGCATGGATGGACTGTGTGCTATGGATACAAGCAGCAGCAAAGGAATTAGACTGCAGTTCAGCCTCAATTTTTTTTACAGCTACCAAAATCTCAGTGCTCTCCTCTGCACCATATTTCACAAAATTCATAGTGATGCTTACATCCAGTTGTGTACTATATTCCCCCTTTACATTTTCCTGTCCCAAAAAGCATTCACCATCCAAAGTCAACTCACCACAAATTGTTAAAAAGAACCATTAGATTAATATTTACAAAGCTTTGTCTTCATAAAGTACCAAGCACCAAGAGTGCTTATGCTTCTCTTTTGAGACACTACTAACCATGCACCTCTATCATTCTTGCTGCATTCACATAGTAATTTAAATCTTCGATGAAGTAGTATTTTCAAAACGAAACCCTCTTTAAATATAGAATTAACATATGCATAAACATTCATCCATTTTCTTCCACTAACCATTCCTTTTCAGTATGCTTCACAATTGCTGTAGGTACAGAAATTTCACCGAATATTGTGAGTTGGAAGGAATCCACAAGGATCAAGTCCAACTCTTAAGTGAATGGCCCATATGGGAATCATAGCCTCCTCTGACATTTCCTGTACACACAACGAGCATTTAAAAGCCATTCAGATAAGTGATATAATAGCCATTAGAACTTTTTTTTCCTGCTCATGTGCTGTCCTCACATTCAAGGAGAAAAAGTAATCAAAGTTATTATTCTGTCATGGTAGTCACACTTTTATCTTTTCAACATATTGTGGACTAATGGGACACTTGCATGCCACCAGATAACCTAGAAAGCCAGTGCACATGCAAAGTTCAGCAACCAAGCCAAAAACATTTGGTTTATCAAGAATCATTTGTTCCACTCATATACTACTAAAAACAAGTTTACTAAAAGCTTAAAGTGGGATTAGAAGATAAAGAGGGATCCAATCATTGACAGCATTTTCCCCTCTAAAGCATTCTCACATGAATCTCAAAATACTAAGCTGCAGCAGCCTCATGCTTTCACAGAGGGATGCAGCCCAAGCAGTGTCAGAGCTGAGGAACGTGTCTGAAAAACATCCACACTGCTGAATATTCAGGGAAAAGCCCTATTCTCTGCCAAGCCATATTATTGCAAGAAAGCAGCCATCCTTCGTATTTTACCCAGGGCAGCTTCAGGGGATGGAAAAATAAACACAAAACAGACAACATTTTTTAAATCACTCAGTCTTTCATCAAATTCTGGAACTAGCTCAGCCATCATTGAAGACCTCAAGCCACTGCAATATCAGCCCTTCCTCCTCCCTCAACCCAGTGTGGCCACCACAAAGATCAAGAGTGACATATCCATCTCCATTTGGCCTTTATATTGTTTTTATGTCCCATTTGCCTCACTTCAACCATTCTGCACAGTGACCAGCTATTTCTCACATATGTTGCCTATCCTCAGTTTAAACATGCCCTCTCCAAGTAATGCATGAACTCTGGCAGGTTGTATTCAAAGACAAGTGAGGCAATGAATGTTCCCTGAACTAAGTCACCAAAATAAATAAGCCAGCCTCTAGGTTATTCTAGGACCAAGTTAAATTCAGCTTTTTGCTCCACTCGTGTATGCACATACAAAACTTGTACTTTCAGTAGAGCCAGTAGCACCCGCGCACAGCAGCACATGTGGATGAATATGCTCACACACTTCATGTTCTGTGCCGCTGGACACAGAACCAGCTGACAGATGTTGTGATTGTTGTGGCATATGGTTAAATCATACTGCTATGATTTAAGCAGGAGTTTTGACATTTTCCCCTAATGGTACTAGCCAGATTCTCCCACAGCGTATTCCAACATACAGCCCGCTTTACCCGAAAGGAAGCCACTTGAATAAAAGCCTCCAATGGATTGAAGAGGGCCTTCTAAGTTGCATCTACCTGCAGCAGGAGGGCCCCATTTTGTAATAAAGATCACAACACTGACTATAAATTGCACAGTCCAATGCTTCAGTGCATTCACTTCCATCTGTACTATGTTCAGAAACCATATTCTCAGCAAAGATTAGCATGAAGCGGGACGTGGCTGAAGTAAATATGAGAAAAATGCTGTTGGAAGAAGCTTGAGCACTGTGTAGCAAGTACTAGTTAGGAAGAGCTTTATTACCATGACAAAAATTGTTGCTGTCTTTACCAAATGAAGAATACAGCTGTATTCTAAGAATTAGAATTCTAGCTAAGAATTAAGGAAAACTGTTCTTACTAGTTAATGTAAAAGTTACTGATAAGAGAGGCTGGTGTTTTCAGAAAATTATTCCAAATTTCCTAACAAGATTTATTGTAGCTGTTGAAAACACTTATCTGGATTACCAAGTATGCAGTAATGGTAACAATAAGTAAATAAGTTAATTCTCCTGAAACCTAAGTCCTAAATTAAGCTCAGAATAGTGACTGTAATTAACAGACCAGTAGTCTAGTCAATAACACAAAGCTGAGCCAGTCTCCCATATCTAAAAGTTACAGAATCATTCAAGAAACTGATAAATAGGCCAAGTCACTTCTGTATTCCATAGCCTGTATCAGGTATGAGTCATCCACAAACTGAAAATTTTAACGTTCTCACACTGCTATTATAAATGGACTACTTAATGTCCAGTTAGATTGGCAATATTAAGATCACTTTATTTTAAGATTTATGGATTTTGAAAACACGTACAAATAAAATACTTGTTACAAAATTCCATTTGCTAAAGTTTCTCCAGGAATATACATCAAGCATGATCCCAGCACACAGATAAATGACTTCTACAGAGAGCATTACATAGAGCAATAGATGCTAGTGAAACAGCCAGTCTTTCCAGATACATTACAATGAAAAGTTTTCTTTCCTTTTGCCACATCTAACATTCAACTAAATGTTTTATTTCTAAATAGCCATGTCTGAAGTTAAAATGTGTAAGCAAACTGACTGTGGAAGTCAACAGGCACTCAGAAGCCCCAAAGGGGAGAGTAAGCACTATTTTTCAAGTTCACTAGTTCAGGGGTAAAAATCCCTGAGAGACAGAAAAACAACACACCCTTTTTTCTTCGATGGAAAGATGCTTGCCAGGGGACATTGCCAAGAGACAGCTGTAAAGATAAACTGTAAGACTGAAGAACAACAGTAAGACAGAGCAAGGAAACCAACCTGTAATGCTAGGTAAGGAAGAATGCCTTGGTGGGGCAGCATGGGACTTCACCAAGGCTGCCTGCTTGCAAGAAAAGCATTCAGCAGAAATATATGCAGAGATACAAAGCATAAGATATGTACATGTTAATCTTGTCATTAAGATGGAAAACAGTTTGCGTCAAAACTATATTCTCACTTAATTTTAAATGGTATGCAACTGACCTCAAGAGTTAAAATACAAACAAGAATAAACAAAATATTGCACTCCAATTTCAAAGTTACCATCAGGACATTTATTACATGAAGCAAGTAAATTAAGAAACAAGGATCCATATATATTTTCTGTTTCTTGATGACAGTGCAGAACTGCTCAGCTGTAAGTGTTTAACAGACCAGGCCACTGAATTCTCTGGGGCCTGGAAACTGATCTCAGAAGCAGCATGCTTCTGACCTTCCATCTTGAGTCCCCGAACTGCTGCTGGACATCAAAACCACCCTACTTCTTCTCCTTTATGAGTCATACCCCTGCAGTGTCCTGTTCCTTGCTACATGCTGTGACAAGGGTCCCCAACTACATCCTTTTCCTTAAGTCTATTGTGCATACAGAAGTTGCGCTACTGAATTACGATGCTGTGCTGATTTTCAATGCTATTTAACATGTAGGCAGGTCAAGCTAACTAGATCACACATAAGCTCACTCACACTGTTCACTAAGGCCGATCTGAGCCTTGAGAGCAGTGGAAGAAAGCTGCGGTAGTTTCAGGTTATTGAAACATCCAAAGCATTAAGAAGCCCATTATATCCGGCAGGCATCTAGCACCACAGTAAGCAACGCTAGGAGGAAAGTGTGGCATAAACGGTGACAGCAAGTCAAAGCAGACTTCAGCCTAAGGATCTAATTTTAAAGGTTAATATAGGTTTCACAACCAGTACACTTAGTCTGTGATGAGCTACAGGTTTAGAACTATTAGCAAATAAAGAGGAGTTTTAAGAGCAACCTTTAGGTTCTGACCTAAAGATCTATAAATACCACTGGAGGGATGATCTAGTTTGAAATCAGATTATCTTTAAACTAACTAGAAAGCAATCATGCTTACACGAGGCCCTCATGCTAGTCACACTTGCTCAAGAGCAGGGCAGGACTCTAAAGAACAGATGTTGACAGCATGTGTCCTGTGCTATTTTAACATTGAACTTCCTTATATTATTTATGTCACTTCCTTAAGAGGACAGTAGTTAACCTAAGCTACCCCAGCCCCACTTCAGCCTAACTGAGCATCCAGTTATATGCTCAGTTTAATAGAATGGGAGTAGCAAGTTCTGGGTGATTTGCTGATGTGTTACTGTATCAAAAGGCCTCAGGAAAACAGCAACTAGACAGAAGAGGACATTACCTTTCCCTGCAAGCCATTCTCTAGGGTGCTTACCCTGAGGAAGAGACTGTCACAGTTTGTGATAGTTTTTCTTCTACAACACCATTATTCTAGGGCATTTGTTCCACACAGGAATGTGCAGTTTTATGGAAGGACTGCTGTTCCAGTTCTCTAAGTGGACTCTCCAGACTTCAGGCTTTTGCCCTAGATTTAGGTCACTAGTAATTGGACATGTGTAGAAAATGCACAGGCTCAGTTCAGTGTTGCCTAATTAATTTCTTAGTCTGTTGATTTGGCAGTCGCCCTACAAAATAGAACTACTGGATATTTAAACTTGTATGGAAGAATACCTTATGACACTAGCAAGCCTCCCAAAAAACAAGCCAAATTCTTTCGGTACTAGTGAAATAAATATTTTAAATTGCCTGGAGTACAAAATGAAATAAGTTCTCAGGTGGGACAATCACCTTGGTTCACTAAAAGGAAAAAAGATCAAGCATAGCACAAAATACAAAACCACAAAGAATTCATGGAGACTTCCTGAAGATGAAGCACAGAATTGACAAGTGCCAAAGTCCTGCAACCTATGGAGCAGAATCAACTATACCAATTTTCTGTCTGGGACACTATATTCCCAAGCAACTGGTGAGTGCACCAATCAACCACAAACTAATGTCACAGCTTGAAAGAGAGAGTTCTGTACATTATTTTGATCTCTATGAGGCACCTTACAGTATTGTAACTGCTCCTGGAGTAGCATATTCATGATGCAGAATTAAAATTATTTCTGCTCCTAGGCTACTGCCACAGTTTTTTAGTCAACTTGATGTTTTTTAAACCCTTCCTGAAGGACACATAACAGCCCCACTGTGCTCAGTCCTGGCCATCCTGCCAAGTTTTCTGTTGGAGCTCACTTCACTACCATCTATTCACTGCGCCACAGGTCCCATGTGCTTTAGGTAGTTTTGGCTTAAGCCTAAACAGCAAATGAAAAGAGACAGATGCCTCTCTGCAGGAACTTTTCTCACTGGTGACCCTGGGAGTTGAGTTGGCAGAGCCACCTGAACCTCCTAGGATGGCTGCTCTACAAAACAGCCTTATAAAACACTATTCACATATTAACTGCAGTAAAATATTTACTTCAGATCAGGAAGCATTTTATTATTTGATAGAGAAAGAGGTTTGGTGCCTGAGCAGACAGTTTGGTAGCATTTTAAAAGTGATCTAACATGTCTACCTTGATTTAAAATAAAACGGCATTCTGATTCCTTTCGCTAAGAAGTGAACTCTGCCAATTAAAAGGACCGGAAGACTGAAATAAATTCACTGTAACAATACTGAAAGGCAACAGATCTTTGCTCCAAAAGCCTTGTATACAGGGTTACTCAGATGGTTGTTAAAGTAAAAACAAAATACAATGATACTTGCGAAAAAGCTTAATATAATATTTTGAGTCCATAAACTCTAAACAATAAATATGAAAAGTGTACATGGCACACCAGAGCAGCTAAATACTAAAAAAAAACCCCAACAAGTACAACTTGGTAACACTTACCTATATTCTCAGTGATAAGTTTGTTTGTGATATAATACAGGCGTAATATACAAGATGTTCTTCCAAAGGAAAACCACAGAACAAAGTTAATACAGAAGGTGAGGGAGGAGGGGAGACAATAAATAACAAGGCACAAAACCCTCTCTTGTTGCAACCCTGTAAGGCACCACTTGTGCAAACATCAAACTATCAAAACCTGTAGTGGAGAAATTCTAAATGTGTTTAAATAACTGGATAATGTATTTTAAATATGACACTATGTGCTTATGTCTTTGGGAATAAAAATACTTACGAACCTTTATTTACACCAAAAGTCTTTTAAAAAACAAATTAGTGAAATGGGTGAATCAATAACCAAATACAAGTCACAGCTAATTTTTCCCAGACACCTTCACAAGTGCAACTTGACCGTGACCTGGCCTTGCTAACAGAGTCCTGGGAACAATACAGTGCAGAGGGCAATGCTGCATATCAAATTATGTAGCACGCCAGTAATTTTGACAAAACACAGGGATTAGGATGAGGATAGACTTATTTTCACTTGAAACCAAAAAGTATTTAAATCAAGAGATAAAAGGTCAGTAGCATTAATCTAACATCATACCTAGTGATCTTAATACCCAAAGTCGTAATTTATGCCTCTATTTAAGAAGTGGGCACCAACATTTTTCTTCCTTATTCTGTTATGTGCTCAGAAAATCTATCATGACACAAACTTCAGCAAAAAACCTTCTCTCTTAGTAGAAAATAACAGATACCTAACTAAGCTTACGTCCTTTTTTCTTATGTCCTATGATCTCTACTGCATCCTGCTAGAAGTTTTTTTCCTCTCTCCAATTACGTAAGAACCTCCAGATGATATACACATGTGAATACACACAGGTTGAACAAATATTTACAAGATGAGAAGGGCTTTTTACTAATAACCAAAATTTTCTTCTAATGAAACATTTAGGACACACTCAGTTTCTCATGAGCTTCAGACACATGAATGAACTTTTTTTTTTTTTCCACTTGGGAACAGCATCAGTAGATTACATTTCCAGAAGTTCTGCTTGCAGCCCTGCAACTTGAACAACTGCACAGCACACAGTAAACAATCTAAAAGAACCTGACTACTCAGTTATTGGCTAAGTTGTGTTTTCTTATGTGACATGTCTTATTCTACGCTTAAAAACCTTGTTCCCAAATGAAAACATTTAAGGTCAAACAACCTGTAGCTTCAATGATGCTCCATCTACTGAGCTGCCAGAGAGGACAATCAGGACAATATATTATATTTTAAACAAGGGAAATGGAAGAAAAAACAGTCTTAAGTGGTAAGTTAACATTCATATAGCTATTTGCTGAAAGGCTGTGCCAGCTTAGGCATGCTTCATTCCTTATATTAAGTCCTCTTTTAAGGATATAAAAATTTGAGCAAATACAATGTAAACAGAGCCAGGTAGACTGCAGTAGTAAAGAACAACATAATTGATCTGACAGGTTTAAGGCCAACTATTTATGATTTGAAATGTGTCATACTTTTCCATGGCACTTAATACACTGAAAGTTAGTACCAGATGACATTAAACAAGGGTATACGTATTCATATGTAATGCGATATATACATGTAGCTTCAGTCCTTAAAATAGAAAGTTCAAGTTTTCTTGTCTACATCAAATCAGTTTGTGAAAGACCACCTGTGATTTCCTATCATGAATAAAGTAACATTACTATTTTAATCAATTTAGTGCAAACTGACCTAAGTCCAAAGACATACCATTCCTTGATTTTTAGTCACTACTTACCAAATGCCCCTGTTTCTTTTCGAGAGACAACTAGACCTTTTTTTTTCCCTTGAAAGAACAGCAAACACCTGACAACTAGCATGCTGTTCTAGTCTACATTAACAAAACTTGCTGATATACAAATCATGTTTTGGTCATGCAGCAGAGACCCATCCTCAAAATAATCCATCTCTCCAGTCAATCAGTCAAGAAGAGCACAGTGCCAGATTTTAATTAGCAGGTCATCCTGGCCACTCCGTACTCCAAGCTGACAACAGCAGGCTCAGCTTTGGAGAACTCTGACACAAGCTCACTGTAACGATTGTCTGCTGTGTTGCTGCCCTCTATAGTTCTCACAGCATCATTCCCAGGGATAGGCGGCTGCTCCTTCTTGAAGCATGGAGGGGTCTTCAGTGCCACGGGGGCAGGATGAGCAGACTGCTGATGTTCCTTCACAAGGACAACATCTGACTGCCCGTTTCTCTGCTTTATTTTCTGAAATACAGAGAATAGTTACTAACAGTGGGCACGACTCTTTACTGATAATATTCTGCTTCAAAAGGAAGTGAATCCCCTTCTTTTGCTGGCCAACTCAGCATCTACAGAATCCTGTATGATATACCCTAGGCTAGATATGTAACAGTCATGTTAAATGTTATGCCACTGGATATTACATTATTCCCCACAGCAGATGCTACAAGATCTGTGTGCTTAAAATTCCTTAAAACATATTATTTTGAAGTTTCAGCACCTTAACTGACTATAACAGAAGTATCAATTAAAAGCCACTAAGTCATACTAGAATAAAATCAGATACAGCCTATCCTGGCTGTTTACACTAGCACCTAATGTCAATTATATACATCTTATCTCTGGATTTAGCTCTGTCTTGAAATAAGCATTACATTGTACATGACCCATAATTATGGTGACTTACAACAGCATACACCTACATATGAATTTAAAAGAACAGTACTTACTGCTTCCATTTTAGTAGCTATAATGGAAATAAAACATTTTCAGTCTCCTTGGTTTAGCAACACAGCTGTAGCTATGATGGGTACCTTTTTATTCAAGGTAAGTTTCACAGAAATTTAACCTACATTAAAGCATCTTCAGTAACACTTTGATAGTAGGAGAACTTTTACATAATGCAGTTCATTGGTAAAGCAGAATAAATAGTGCCGAAGAGCAAAACATTGGCTGCATAGTCTAGCATTCATCATAGAAGCATACAGTGGATGTCAAAAGTCAACACTACACAGAGTAACTGCCGGGCACACAGTAGTGACACTCACGTGAAAGCTGGCAGCATTATTATAACTTTAAATGTGAATTTGAAGGACAAGAAGTCACACGTACACACACTTATTTTGTAATACTTACAGCTTCCAGTTCTTTAATGTCTTCTTCCAGTTGTTTATTTTGCTCACTCAAATTCATTATAAGATTGAGCACAGACTGCCTGGGATGCATACTTCGGTCAAACTGATGGTACATATTTCTCCAAAACCTGCATGAAGCAGACAGTTTTAACTATGCAGGACAATGACAAAACTGAAGAAGAGATACTGTATCTTATTTAAACTTACTTAAAATTGAATGATACTGTATTAGGCTCCAAAAGAGTTAGTTCTGGCAAAAAGTCTGGATTATATAGAGGATTCCGATATTTCTTTTGTTCTTCCAAAAGGAATGGCCACAAGGAGTAGGTCTTCTCTTTTACTCTTAAAGCAAAAAGAGATAAAGGTCAACACAGTGACAGCAAGCAAAAAAACAGAAGCTCTTCAACTAATAATCAACCTTTAAAAAAAAAAAGTTATCAGAAATACTTATAAATCTTGAATTAAAAGCTCTTATTAAAATCAACTTCTTCCTGGCATATGCTGACGTTGGATAGAAATGCCAATTTTAGAAGTACTACTGCTTTTAAAACACAATGTGAGACAAACTGACAAAAACTTCACAGAAGTTTGCCAGCTGAAAGCATTGGAAGCTACCCTATTAATTCTTCCAACTGGCTAATCTTGAGCAGGCAAGAATTTTAAGCTTACCTAAAAAGAGATTGGGGGAGGGAACGAAGTGATACTTCCAAATTTAAGCTTTCAGTACTACCAATCCTGCCTCCATTTCTATTCAGAGCCTAAAATGAAGATTCACGTGAGTTCTCAATCTGACAGAATAAACAAAAGACACATTATAATATGCCTGCTTACTTTAATTCTTCTCGTTCTTTTTCACAGTTCCCAAGGAAGTTACCAAACTGGCATGAATGGACATGTTCATGGATTTGAAGGAGGAAAACTTCATTGTACTCAAAGGCTTGTGGAAACTGCTCAGTCAGATTCCACACACATTCTAAAAACTGGGTGAACACTGGTGAGATCTCTTTTGGATCACCATCCAACTGACAACATCTGAAAAAGATTCCATAAACAGATTGAAACTGGTTTAAGTTAGAAATCAAAAAAGTCTTATCTGCAAATGTTTTTAAATGACAGCACATTAATTAGACACTATCATTGGTATCGAGATTGAGCACCTTACTTCAAGAACTGGGACAAATTTTGAATAGAAACAAGTCTATATTTAACCTGTTTTTCTAACTTACAAGTAATCACACATTTGTATTCAGTACAGAATAGCAACTTAAGACAGGTAAGTTCCTTTGTGTCTATTATCTTCACAGTCTTTAGAGTATATCAGCTAAAAGCAAATTAATAAGCAGTAAATAGCAGGAAGGCTATTGTCATAGCTGATGACAGGGAGATCAAGGGAAAAAACAGAACTCTGAGCATATAGGACTTCTAAAGGTAGGTATGACTTCATCATCAAAGCAATCAGAAATGTAAACTCTTCTTTAAAGATATCAAAACTAAGTGTTTCATATTGCCTAAATAGCTGGGACATAGCCTTAGATTGGTTTTGCACTGTCTATACGTATGTGCAGACCTAGCTGCTGTCATCAACACTTGAGAGCAGGGCACCGGCAGCACTAAAAATTTATGTCTACAATATAAATCAATTATCCAATATGTATCTGAATAAATAGAATACAGTGCATTGTCTACTGCAAATAGCTTGCTGCTAAACTACTGCAGCGTTGCTAGAAATTTAACATCCACAACCTTAGTTCAGTTTGCCGTATACATTTTACAATATTGGAGGAGTGAACTACCTGTCAGAGAACTTGTGCCCAAAAGAGATCCAGTCTTTCTCTATCAAGACCTAGAGGGTAAACAAACCAAATTCTCATGAAAAATGTTACTCAATCTTACGTCTTACATATATTAAATCCACAGGTTATCCATATATTATATCAATAAATCTGATTATTTTGTATTCGGATTAAATTGTATTAAATCTCAGTCCAATTAATAACAGTAGGAGCAACCATTTGTCTCTTTGCAGCTTCTTTATTTTCTTGGAAGCCTTTCAGAGGAGAACTGTCAAAGCACATTTACAAAACTAAAAGTTCAGCAACTTGCTAATCAGATAATTGCTCTTAAACCAGATTCACTTTAAGCACAATGGATGACTTCACTAGATTACAACCAACTTTCAAAACATGGCAAAGCACAGGAAAAATGTTAGCATTTTATTCCTGGTATCTCAGTTTACATAAAACCACACAATATAATCTTTCTAACACTTAGAGCAGTAAGTTAATATCAACACTAGCTTGTTTTATCACTTCAGTCACAATATCAAGCATGAAAAGGAACACAGTACCATCTGACCATTACAGAAGCCTTCACAAAAATCTAATAGAAAACAAGGAGTAATCAAAACCCCAAAAGACTATATGACATCCCTAAAAATTACACACATCCTTACTATTTGCAACAACTTATTCCTCTTCCAATTCATCTTCAGGTTCACTTTCATCACTTGTAATATTTGTGACAGTTCTAATCAATATAGTAAAGTAGTTTCATGTACTATCCTTGAGGAGTTCCCATGACACCTTGCCTTGCCACTGCAGAACACTACTGATTTTCCCACTGTAAAATTTGGAATAATCATACTGAAATTTCTCTTCCTCTCTATGGAAAAATGAAAAATTTTAGATTGTTTAAACATCCCCAGGCACTGAGGGAGTTGACATTTTTACACTTTAAAAATGTTGATTTGGGGACAAGTGATAAAATACAGAGATGATGTGATTTAGTACATCTGCTATCTCACATAAGCACTTTGGAATCCCTGTATGTCACAGATAACAGGCTTTTCTGGATGCAAAAGACAATCATTGCAGCATGGCGCCTAAAGAAATCTGCTATTTGTATTTCAGTTTTTTAGATTTTAAATAAATGTTCTTTCCAGTAGCAACGTATTTCTATAAGAAAGATTTATCAGTATACTGCAAATCTCATTTTACATTTGTAACCACAGAAAAAAAGGCAGTATGTTTACACTGCTCCCTTTCACACTCAAACATTTTACATCTTTTATTTACCAAGGAAGAGCTCAATAATGCAACAGTTAGCTTACCATGAATCCTTTGATTGTTCTGTAATAGGAATCTAGTAAGAGAGCTCCAAGAGAGCAAACTTGGGAAGTCCTATCCCAGCCATCTGAGCAGTGCACTAATACACTTGCGCTCTCCACCGCTATTGCCTACAAAACACAGTTGTTTCTTGATGAATGTTTTTCTCCAGACAAAAGTCAAAATTTAATAGATAAATTAAAAAGCTACATTTATCCCAAACTGACAGCATAGGCCATTTTATTTACTAACCTAGAAAAATGTTTATTATGAGGAATGGATTTGATACTGTCAGAAAGCGGAGAATCTCTCCACAGAAGTATAGAAAATTCCTTACAACGAAAAGAAATTCCACCACCACCTCTGCATAAGCTAACATCTCCAGTGGTTCCCAGTTCTTTTTCTCTCCCTTATAAAACAAACCTTACAAGAGAAGCTCACAACGTATACTAAAAAAGAATTAGATTACAAATTATAGATTGAAAAAACAAAACACCACCAACACATCATTAAAATACCCACTTCTTCGTCGTTACACTACAGAAAAGTAAAGGCTTAGGAAATGTTTATTAGCTTTTGCTAAGAAATTAAATCCTGTTAGCTCAGATGTTTTTGAGGGTCATCTTTAGGAGAATCATCCACTTTTAACTGAGTTAACTCCCTGTTATTTCACCTAGTAAAAACAAAGATCCAGGTTTTTTTCTTCACCCAGCCCTCTCAGGTCAAGCCCTTGGCTTCATAAGTGCCTGGCAAAGGCAATTATTCCCCTCAATTCCTCATAAAGAGTCCCATTTCCTGGCCAAATGAAGTCAGCATAGCCACTTTGGCTGCTCTGCAATTACTGCCCCAGGAGCAGTGTTTTTCAGGGTGCACTAAATAAGTTTGTTCCATCCTCCTCCAAATTGGTTACACCTTTCAGAAATACCTAAAGAACCAGGAAGCATAAGACCCCGTTCATCTCCCAGCAAAATGACCAAGTAACATTCAAAAAATCCCAAAACATTAGCTGGCAAACAGAAATGAAAAAATCAATCCAATCATATAGAAACATGTAATACTTAAACCAGCATATCCAAGGCACCGGTATATATACTAAACACCTACCTCCAAAAGAGGTTGGTTCCAGAATTTTACATATTACATAATCTTAAGCATAATTTTGCCTGGCAGCAAGTCAAATTCCTATCACATAAAGAAGCAGCATGCAAGTTACCTTGACTAGGAAGACAGCAGCATCCACCACAGCTTTGATGTGACGCAGCCATCCAGAATTCTCCAAACCAGACAGGAAGTCATTGACAGACAAACCCCTTGTGCCACTGACTGGAAGAAACCAAGAGTTAAAAAGCCTTAAGCAGTTGCAGTTACCTGAACCCTGCAATGCAGAAATATGTAGAAGAATAGTTACATTTTGTGTCTAATCTCCTAAACTGTAAGTTGATTAGAAATCTTTCAGGAAACCCCCACTCAAATGGTTTAAGGGAGGGGTACTACAAAATTATCTCCATCCAGAATTCAACTCTGTAGAACTACAGTAATCACAAGTGACAAGATCTGTGTCTTTTTGACAAAAATAACATTCCAAATAAATCCACTGGTTACCCCCAACAGGGAGCCTTACCCTTGTCTTACCAAGGAAGTCAATGCAAATGCCAAAGGCTTACCAGAAATACTTAAAGATTACTACTGCTAGGAGGAAGTAGCTGCATCCAGACAATATACACAGTTCAGAGTAGTCAGACTGCCAGAGTTTCATCACCTCCACCCTGCTTAGGAGAATAAAGTGCAGTACAAGGACATGGTGAAGAAATTAAATCCATCGAGATTTTGTCTACCTCCAGACTTGACACACTACATTTCTGACTGATCTTTACCATTCTTCCCTAATATACTTTGATGCTGTAACAATAATGCCAATTGAGAGGGCAAGGAAGAACTCAAGTTAAAGAAAAGATGCCTTGCAGCATAGCAGCAAGTGATGTAGACTAAAAGCTTCTCACACACTTAAAAATTCACATGAGACAGATAACCTGGTTCTTGTACAATTTTAAGTAGCAACTTACACAATTACATTACTGTCCAAACATGACAAACTTTTGGCAATAAAAAAAAAAAAATTGCTGGCTAATATAATTTCAGCTATGTGTAATTCTAAGAGAAGGTACCCATGGCTGCCATCTACAAAAATACCTGCCCCTGCCACAGTGGAAGCCTACTTTCCACTAAGCTTAACAGTTGGTCCTGATGATCTTAAAAAGTCTTCCAACCTAAATGATTTTATGATTCTAAACTATTGGGCCCTGGTGAAAATAGAAACGCTCTGTAGATGAAAGCCAGCAGTAGGGATATAACAGCTCCAAAATAATCTTTATCTCTGACTATGGAAGGAAGTGAGTCAGCAGCAAAAGTAGAAAACAAAATTTACTAAATCCCTCTGTGACGCAGTTTCATATTCAACCAAGGCCCCTGATGTAATGAAAGCTCTAAACTCTTAAACTGCCTCACAGAGCCTTCCTGTGTGTGCACTAGATGTTTCTCAGCTTTCAGATAAACAAATTTTGGTACACTCCCTATTGCTCAGGAAGATTTGTAGCACCAGATGCTGCTGAATACTAGAACAAAGACAGGCCTTCAAACAAGTATTGCAGCACCCTTTCTAAAACCCATAGATCTATATCATCTACAAAACTATCTAGCAAACCACAGCACAATGAGGTAACAAAACATCAAGAAACCCCTGGATACAAGACCTAATTTTAAAGGTTAGTCTGTAAATATCAGTAAAAGCAAGTTAGTTTTTCCCTTGTCTTTGAAAAAGCATCATTAGGCAAGGGTTCCACTTCCAAAACGTCTAGCACATGGAAGAAATCAGGAGAGAACTACTTGATCCTTTCAGCTAGTCGACATTCTCTCTACACCAGTGGTTCCATACACCTGTTCAATCACAACAGTACACAAACAGGTCTAGCACTCTGTAGTAAAGGAAAGAAACTAAAAATAGTCAAATATCTGGAAATTCAAATATCTGCAAGGAAGGAACTGGACAAACAAGGCAATGTCTAGAGGCACTATTCATGGCACCCCACATTCTGTACCTTAGGATTTAAAGCAGAAGCTTTCCAGCTAGAAAACAAGCAGCCCTCAGTTTGTTTTCACCCAGATACTGCTGTCAAAATCTGCTTTTGATCAAAATTTTCAGCTTGGCAGAAATATTTCACCACTAGTATTTCCCCCTTCTAGTTAGATGTCTATACTTTTATATGGAGTATATATATATATATATATCTTTAATGGAAATAGAGATAGGAACACATATGTTGAGCCCATAGAGTTACTTTCCATTTCTGTGAATTAACACAGGCATTTTTATACTACTTGGTGATTAAATAAAGAAATTGCAATTTTCCAGATCCTTATGGTCTTTTAAAGGATCAAAGATGATTTATGGCACCACTAAGATGTTTAGCTACTTCACAATAAATATAATTCAAGACAGTTTTGATTCTATGGTTGTCACCATAAAAAACACAAGCCCTACAAGTCCCAAAACCTCATAATTCCCTTGCTTGTTTGTCCTTATTCACACTAGCAACGCCTCAGGCAGTTGTTTAAAAGGTGACTAGACCTGCAGACTGAAGGACAGCTGTTTGCAGGTAGAAATTGTTTTTTAACAAACAAAAAAACCTAAACAATCCCTTCTCCTATATAGAAAACCCACAAACCCCCCTCAGTTAACACAATTCCATCATCAAAATATACATAACAGATCACAGCAGCTACTACTGAACCTTTTCCTTAAATATTTCCTGCAGAAATGCTGCCTCTGACGTACACAAAACCTTTTTGCTTATTAGAGTTCAATCTTTTCTGACATGCAGTACTATATTTTGAATATATAAAACCTCAACTCTGTATTTAATGTCACAGCCACAAATTTAGTCTATGTGAAGGTTCTCCCATTAGTGTTGTAGTCTGCCCATCTGCAGTCATGTTCATGCTGAAGAAAACTATTTTAGGAAAGTTTTGTTGGGAAGGATTATGTCTTACATTTTGCTTGCAAGTGGAATTATTAGATTCTGAAGGAATTCTGACACAGAACCTGGGAGCAAGACACATGCCAAAGAATGAACAACAGTTGTTTGTCAAAAAAAGCCCAAACAACTGAGGACGGTCCCAGTTACAATGGCCCTTGAACAAACAAGGTCATTGATATCACACTCCTGATTTGAGAACATTCAGTTCAGCATGTTCAGGGAAAGCGAGTACACAGAAGCTAAATGGCATTTTCCTCAATTTTAAGTGATGAACCAGGGTCTAAATAGTAAATTATTGCATACAACCCTAAATTTCAAGGGTCCCTCCTACCCCTAAAGAGGATTCTAGAGTGACGTTCAGCAAAATTAGTGAATTATTAGTGAAACAGACTGAACAGAGGTAAAACAAGTGTTCATTTACCAAAACCCCTGATCTGAAGAACAACTAGTAGGCATCCCTCGTGATTTTGTTTCAATCAAGTTTAAATAAATCAATTCTCCACATAAAGAAAAATTTAAACATACTCCATCCTTAAAGAAAGCTACAGAAACACAGTTAGTAAGTACTGTTAGTGGGATGCTAAGTCAAATGGCTAAGAATATGAACTCTGTGAAGCTTAAGTGTGACACACATATTTCTGCATCAGACCCTACTACACAGGAGTAGACCTCTTAAAAAAAGTAAAAATAACAATCAATACTTTTTAGCAAGTTTTCTAGAATTGAAGATATTAGTAAAAGAAAGAGGGATTACACCAAACCTAAATGTGAAGCTCAGGATCACACTTCTCATCTTTCCCTTAGAAAAAGTACATGCAGGAATAACTGGAAAAATATATATTATCAAAGCTCAGTAGGATTCTGTGTTCAGAGTGCCTGAAGAATAGTTTAGCAGCACATACAGGCTCAATCAAAGCAAAGTAAGACTACACCACTAGTCTGTGCGATTTCTTGACTAATGTAGACAGAATGTCTTCATCAACACAGGCTTCCATACAAGCGTAAGCCTTCTCCATGACTGGAAATATTTGCGTATTTCTGGAAGCCAGCCACTTACACAAGTATTGTCAGGTGTGGAACCCAGACTTCTGCCACTGTATTCTAAGTTCAGTATTAGTACTCCACAAAGCATCTTTAATTTTCTCTCAGCTGTTTACCTAAATACAATATTAATGGAATTATGAACATACTTCTGCCTCTCCATTTTTGCCACAGAAGGCAGGCAGTGGCATGGTGAAGTGGCTCGCATTTCGCCTGCCCCCTTCCCTACAAATACCTACAAGCACAGAAGTGGCTCACCAGGTCAAAGAGCTCAAGTTTCATACAGACCATATGCTCATTGCAAATTCTATGGAACAAAGTGCTCCTTGAAGAACTGATATTCTGTATAAGAAAATGTATGTACACACACTATTTTGTGTATTTCTATTACATTGTACATGTGCTTAGAAAACACAGCAGTCTTTCCCACAAGCCACTGACATACTAACCAAGTTCATTCAAGACATACATGCCATTCAATTTGCTTCAAAACAGCTCCATGCATTGGGTTTACAGTTTGAAGGTAAAGGTTTAAGGTAATTCATTACCACAAAGTAGAGCAAACTAGTACTAAACACAGAGCTGTGATAAAATATAGAAATATCAATACAGCTTGTGTAAGGCATTATTAAAGACTTCAGAAAAATACTCATCCTATTTTCCTATACATTACGATAGTACAGTTAAAACGTACCTTCCAGAAGTTTTTGTAAGCTGGATCTCATTACATGAATATTTTCAATGCCAACAAACTGAAACCTAATGTTAGAGTAGTTGTCTTCATTCTCATAGCCCTTCCCAGCAGCTCTGTTTGCCATTGCATTAAGCTTAAAAATAAAAATAAAAATACTGATAAACAGTACTTGAAATAAAAATATCAAATTAAGAAACAAAAGTCATGCAATTTCAGTGGAAGACATTGGGAATAAAACACAAGAGCATACAGTATAAAAACAGGTTCTAATACACAGTTTGTGACTACATCATCTTGAAAGCATTAAAGTCTAAGAAAGGGATGATAAATAAAAACCAAGCTCTATATTTAGAGCTGACATATCTGAATAATGCAGAGTAACTTCTTATTCTGTCCTCTGTATTTCCACCAACAAACCTTCACTTGTTATCAAACATTTTTGAGCAAAGACACTACAAAAAAATTCACCTAAAAAGGAAAGACCCAGACTTTTCCAGCTTCTGTGTTCAGACATTTGAGTGAAATTAATACCAATTGAAATGCAAATGGGTCTTAAAGAGTAGGAGTTACCCCACACATTCCAACACAGGTCATAACATAATTCAACTTAATAACATAACATAACATAATGCAATTTAATTAGACAGCGATGAATTGTGGTGGTGAGGCACTGGAAAACGTTGCCCAGAGAAATTGGGGATCCTGGTAGCATTCAAGGCCAGGTTGGATGGAGGTCTGAGCAACTTGGTTGTGGGTTTGGAACCAGGTGATCTTTAAGGTCCCTTCTAACTCAAACCATTCTATGGTGACCTCAGAATGATACAACAGAATTTCCTCTACGTCTTCCTTGCTAAGACAGACAGTTTGCACAGATCATTTACACAGAACACAGTACTTCCTCCCATTCCAAAAGAAACCCCTACACAGCTCATAATTTCATTTCAAACTACTCAGTTCTTAAGCTTATTTTTAAACACACCTCTCCAAAAGTTCAGCACCAAATTCAGTGAATTGTAGCTGAGTCCTGAGACAGATTCAACTTCTTTAAGAAAGCAAGTAATTAAACGCCTGAATAAAGAGGTCCAACCTTCTCTTTAAAACATTTTTGCTCATAATGAAGTCATACTTCACTCCAAATTTTTCAGAATTACACTGTATCCCAGTACTCTAATGGTCAGGAAGAGGCTTGTCTGTAGAACCTGAAGTACATACCTTTGGCCTGGTATCTATGACATACATGTAGCGATTTGAAGGATTTGCTTTACTGATGGCTTGCAACATGTGTTCATCTTCCAGGCACCTGGCACTGAAACCTGAGAGAGGTTGACTGCATCTGCAAATTGCAGCCTACCACAGAAAACAAAGAACAAACTAGCATCAGTTTAATACCTGTAGTTGAAATGCTTTGCATAATTCTAAAAGGACACGGAAACAAATTGTTTTATTCAGCAGGTAACATCACAAAACTGAATAAACTTCAAGTATTCCAACTTTTTAAGCACATTACCCAGAGACCTTCAAACACAGCACCTACAACTTAAATCCAAAGGTTTATCAAAACATTTTTTCAGGCTCAACTACATAGACAATGTATCAGTTTACATAATGGACCTAAAAACTCACAAAAGCAGAGGCTGGAAAAAAGTACATTTTAGGAAAGCAAGTCACTCCCCTAACATGTATTGTTTGGTTTTACTAATGTAAGTATGATTTTATTATTGCAAGCACAATATGTTACTATCTAATGCAATTTTTGTAACGTAATTTCCAATAATATGTTGTATTTCAGAAGGTATCGGGTACATCTTGCAAATAGTAATTACCTTCAAATTAGCTTCACAGTCATCAATTATAAATTCCTCAACTCAGCAAGGCGATCATTCTTCTCTCCCTCCATATTACCCCCTAGCTGAGGCAGGCTGCTTTACACCACTCTCTGCAAAATCTTACTTCTCATTCTGTATTTTTTTTACCTTGCAAATAGCTTCTTGGAGAACCAATTCTATTCTTTTTTGTTTGTTTGTTTTTGGGGGTTTTTTGTGGTTTTGGTTTGTTTTTACCCACTATTTTGACCTAACAGATTTTATTTGATCACAAACAGATTTTATTCCTGATACATCAAGGAACACAGATCCTTTAACAGAAAGCTGTCTTCAGTTACCCTAATGTCAGTTTCTGAAAACTTAAAGAGATTCAACTGATTATCAACTAATTACTTAAGGATTTCTTGTAAACTGGCTTAGTTTAACTCAGCATCGTGTTAGGCACCACTAGTGTCAGCTGTATTTAAGGTTAACATGAGTCACACCATACTCACACAAGTCACTACACTTGAACCTCCTTACCTACACCCCTGAACTACTGCCAAGTGTTGAGAAATACTTTTCAGCACGTTTACAGTAAAAGGAAGACACATTATACCTCTTTATTTTTATGATAATATGACAACACTGGGAATCTTCCTTTGCTTCTGAACTTGGAGCTACCAACAATTATGGGCTTGCTTGCAGTTCTGGGAACATAAAGTTCTTTAGGATAGGTTTCACAAATCTGAAAGACACAGATATGCAGAAAGAATTTTACGTGCAAGGCACAAAGCCTATCCTAATTTGAAAGATATTAGGTGAAATAAGAAATAAGAGATAAAGGATAAACACTAACATGTTTCTCTCTATACATGTAAATAACTCAGACAAGGAGACAAGCCACAGATAAAGTAGTACAAACTGGTATCCAAGTTATACAGCAGAGTACTGCCTCTGGCATTCAGTCTCAAGAACAGGATTCTTCAGTAGAAATACTAAGAATATGTTTCAAATAAAATATTGAAATTATTTTCCTCATATTTTTGTATTTGCAGACTACAAAGTGAGATGAAATCTAATCTAGGAATCAGCCACACCACCACACCCAATGCTGCAAATGCTAAAGTAGAATCCTGATCAGTTAAGAGAGAAATCACAAAGCTGAAGAGCAACTGAATTGCTGGGGCTGACCTTCAAACAAGTAACTACACTCTAGAAACAATTCCAAAAAAACCATGCATCCATACACACATAGTCTCTCAATGAGGCCTTGGGGAAAAACTTGGGAAAAATTAGAAAGTTGAGAGACTGCACACTGATTAAGCAGTTTACTCTCTCTACCTGCAAGTTTTTGCTTACACTGCAAGCCAAGTGATTTCAGAGTATTAAGCTGTTTTCTATAGGCCTAGAATCCGAGGATAAAGCAGAAACAGATTCAGAGCAGAACATACTTCCATTACAACACTTACCTTATAATCACGATTTGCATCAGACAACTGCCAGTAAGCATTTGGCACTCCCATTCTCTTATACTCTTCTGCTAGATCAATAAGCTGCCAGCCTTTGACTTGCTCAGATTCATTTTGTTTTGGATTATAGGAAAAGGCATAAAGTTCTTCATATTTTGCTAAAAGGTAAAGAACATACAATGGAGGGAAAGTTTCAGGGTTCAAGATTCACAGAGGCAAGACTAAATAGATCCCTGATATGTCTGAAATATTTATTCTGCAACTATTCTACAGTTAACCGACACAATTATAGATACTTAGAGGTAAGTTATGAGAGTTTTCCTGAGTGTATTTGACCTATTTCAGAAGAGACATTTCTAATGCCATAAGGACAAAGTACAGGTCATAAAATGAAGACTGACAAAACTGAACAAGGCAAAAGGCAGAATTGTTAGAATACTTCACAAGAGCTGAAAGAACAAACTATTTTGGGAGGCAGGAACAGAAATTTATATCTACTGACCTTTAAAACCAATAAGTTTTATAGTTCCCTTTAAAACAAAAAAGATTTCTAAAATTTTGTTCTTCCTAATACGCTATTCACTTATCACAGATGACATTTTACACTGTTCTAAACACAAGGTATAAAATGCAAAAGACCACACTAACTGACAGAAGTCTTTTGTAAAGCTGAATTGGTAGTGTTTTTCTAGCATCAATATTTCAGCTTTATTTTTGAAAGTGCATGAAATTAGTAACAACTTAGTATTTGCTTAGTAGTTTTTTATCTATGGAACACACAATTAAGCGAGACTATATGCATTTATATTCACAATTTCAGGGACAGAAATGTAGAAAAAAATAAAGGGATCTCTCCTTCTGTTAGGGAACATCAGAGACCTACAAAAGCCAGACAACATATCTTTTGAATTTTTATGTAGATTAATATTTAATCAATAAAATTCTTTACATACCAAATCCATTTAAGACTTTACATAATGCATGTTTCTTAAAGAAATAAATAAAAGAGCCATGGATTTACACACACACATACACACACGCCAACTTGTTATCCATGCATATATCCATGCAAAGACTTTTACAGTGATATGTATTACCTGTTTTTGACAGCTGAAGCAAAGAGTTATAAATGTCATGACAATCTCTCTCCCTGGGAACAACAAAGTGAACTATCCTGAAGTTCTTGCACTGGATGACAAGGGGGCAGCCAGAAGTAGTCAAGGGAAGTTTTTCCACTGCAGCAATGTGATGATGCAGTATCTGTGACATACAAAAATTCACAGTGTAAGCATGCTGATGAGAAATAAGAACAGCATACTATTCAGATTAGAAGATGTAAGACACATTATGCAAGGCTGAATATGGATTTTGACTAATTTTGTCCATCGATCATAAAAAGAAATACACTTAAAAGCAGAAATCCAAGAACAACATTTTGGTTAGGATACCATAATTGATGAAAAGTTTAATTATTCTCTTCTGTCATTTTTAAGTGTTACCTAATTTTTGTAAGAAAGAGTAAATATCCTTCTAAATGCAAAAGTGAGATGTAAAACTCCACCATGGTTGGTCAGTTTTCTTTAACTTTGCTAACTGACAGGCTTATATCTTAATAGGTAGTGTCCAGACAGGATATAGTGGGGTTTTTTTAAGGATCTACAGGAACATACTTCAAAATTTTCAAAAAGTAAAAAAAATAAACTAAGTCAGCAAAAAAATTTCAAAGTATAAAAGATATAGAAGAACCTGATAATTTTAGAATTCCGGTATTCAATATCTATAGAATGAACAGGAGATAAGAAACACATCTCCTGTATTACATACTGTGTCACACAGCCGTGACAGTCTCTCAGCTAAATGCTTTTTGACCACTTTAACAGAAGACTGTCACGGCAATGGACAGACAGAAGTCCTCCCTAGATTTATCTGTGCGGCAAATCTATACAAGATTTAGGTAAATACATGGCAAGTAACAGCTGTTCAACTGTGGGAAGAAAGGCAAAGATACACTACCTCAACGGAACAAGATGTTCTTGATAGAATTTCAATTATCTCACTGAAGCAATCAACTCCTCTTAAATATTGATCAGAATTTGACAGACATCTGAAAACTATGCTGCCAAATATGCATTTGCAAAGAGACTACATCTTGAAGACATTATGATAATTATACTTAGTACTTGCATTATCATCAGGAATGCAGTACTCTTGAGTATAAGGTTCCATTTCCCCAAAATGAAACCTTTTAACGTAGGAGACGCGTAGGGAGATGCAAGCAAATAATGCTGAAAGCACCATGAGGCATTTAGTCAGATAACCACAATATGGGGAAAAAAGGGTAATCCAGAAAAATATATCTACAGGAAAAAAAAAGTTAACCACAGTCAGGGAAAGGAGATTTCATCCTGGACGTATGAAAGACTTAAGGCACTAACTAGGTAGCTGTGCAAGGCACAACTTGATGACCACATGTGTGCCACCAGGGCACTGAGCAGAAAAAACTAATGGGAATTACTGTCCTAGCCGTCTTTGATTGTACAACATTGGTACTGGTCAACAAGAAGCTGCAGCTCCTTATGAAATGTTTTATTCCAGAGATGAATACTTCTGAAGAAACAGCTGCTTACTGCTCTAAAAAAGTGCATGTTATCTTCATTATTTCACCAAAACCTAGTTCTTTGGATTTTTGCTGTCTCATTTAACCTAGATAGAATCTAATTACAAGGCAGTTAACACAGAAATTTTAAACCTGATACTTAAACTATCAAGCAGTCTCCCACTCCTGCCTCTGAATTGCGATGCAAGTCAGTTATTTAAAGAAAACCACCACACATTCACTCAGGAATACAAGTGAAGGCTATGGAAAAAATTACAGCAGCTTGAACAGAAAGGAACACTTTCAACATTACCTGAATTCAACTGCAGCAGTGTCATGCAAGAGTATAATCTGCAAATCATTAACTTATTATGATACCATGAAGGAGGAGAGTACAGGGAATAAATAAGAAGAACATTTTAGTAAACAAATTCAACCTTAGATCAGGAAGAAGAAACGCATCTGGAGAACCCGTGCCATAAGCCTTCACTATTCTTACCCATGTCTCTTTCTGGCTTGAATCAATGAATAACAGATGAGTTGCTGTAAGGTATAGAGTTCCCGTCACTGACTTATTGCTCGTGCTGAACCTATCTAGTAATTTCACTTGCTCTACCTGTAAGAAAAAAAGGGAGGGGGAACAAAACTTAATTTTGAATTTTTGCAGAAAGCAAAATTCCTAATTTAGCAAAAGCTTTGTCAGTTTGTGCAATAATTTTGAAAACGGTAGAAAACATAACACAGCAGACACAAGGCTATTCAGGACAAACTATGGTCACATAAGCTTTGAGAAGACTGACTAATTAAAATATTCTGTTTCAATACAAGGGTGAATAATGAAGGCACATCCCTAGGCTCATCAGAATACTTACTGCATACACATCGACTATTGCTATTTACTAGTAAAAAAGACAAAGATATCATTTAAAAAAATTATTAATTGCTAAGTTTTTAGGCTTCTTCCCCAAAATAGAGTAAATACACACTAACAATTTCCTGTTCTTGGGATGCCAGCAGTGAATTAACAGCTGATCTCAGCAAGATGTTTCACGGCTGTTTGCAGACTCAAAGCCATAAAGATTATGTTCTCCTGACTTCAATTCTAGGTATGTACTGTCTTTTACATAATTCTCAAATTAAAAAATCTAGAACATCATAACCCTGCCTTATAGTCAAAGTACATTCTAATGAAATGAAAGGATTATACTAATAATTATAAAAACTCATAGAAATTCAAGGACAGTGTTGGCATTTGAAGCAGATATTTCAAGTTTGAGTCTGGCAAGGGCAAATGACTCCTGGTATTCCATCAACATTGTTAACTCAATGCTACAGAAAACATTTCAAAAGAAAGTGATTGCTAGATAGCCTGCATTTTATCTGCTGCTTATAACTTCATGGGCTTCAAAGTTTGCTGTATTTGAAGAAAACATCACATAAATTCTTGGTGTGCAACAACATGAAAGGCAAATGGCTTATATCTGTGCATTCCTCTATTTCTTGGCAGCACTGTCTCATTAATACCAAGTTAAAGCTCTTTGCCACCATTAAGTTCATGGCAGAACTCCAAAAACGTCCACACAAGTCAGGCCATCACTGAGATGAGGTGACTAGGAGAGCCCACATCTACTGTGTTGATGTTAAGCCAGTTAATTCATATGTACAAACATATTTATCTACTCAAAGAACATATAAAACAGAAAAAAAAATGTTTTTTCAATTCAAGTATTTTTTATAATCTAGCAAGGCCTAATATTGTTTTTGAAAGTTAAAAAAAAAAATAGAATGGAGGAAATAAAAATATCTAGAAGTCAGCATTACTATGATATTCTAGATTTCAGTTTATAAAGCAAAAAAATTGGAAGCTACATGCATCAGTACATTATGCTGAAACCAGCAAAGTATCAGTCCTCAGATACAGAGCAGCATAAGTGAATACAGCACAGCCAAAAGAGAGAATTCATATTGGGCAGATCTGCAGTGATAACTGCTCAGTACCTGGCACTGCACCTCCCCAGCAAACTGAGAAGTGCACAGAAACTGCTCCAGTTTTGTTCCAGTAACACAACCCACAAAATCCTAGCATGTGTGCTTTCATTCTCCTCCATGTAACAATGCAGCTATCCCCAAAGTCAGATGAGGGCAGGCATTAGCACTCCAGCTTCCTCTTACATAGATAATGTCTTCAAGAATTCTGAAAGCTAAACTGTAGATATACTTGTCTTAAAACTGAAATGTAATTTAGATTTAGCCTCTGTAGATGACACGTTCATTCAATCTCGACTCAAGGCCATTTCAATGATTACTCAGCTAATCACACACTCTTTTTTGGTTTTGTTTTGCCTTTTAATTGTGAAGTTTGGCATCTCCTCGGTCATGGAAAAAAGCCATCAGATTTGAAGATGATGGGCTTGAGAGACTGAAGACTGCTACTGAGTTTAGCACATTTGTAAACAAGGATCATTTAAGTAGTCAGAAGCAATATTCTGACAGTAGCTAGCACTAATAAATTAGTGACTTTTTAAATCAGTAAGAATTTGAGCAGCAACCTCAATCATACAGAATATTTACAAGCAAAGAGTCACTAAAAAGTTTATCATGACTAGGAGTTATATATTAAAGGGAAAAAAACCCAAAGAATTGTTTTCATAGAGACAAGTTGAAACAGAAAGGAAGGGGGAAACTACACTTCTGAAGTCTTGCATTAAGAAAGCTAAAGGATTAAATTCAAACAATTAACCAAAAGCAAAATCAGTTACCAAGATTTTTTCATTGTAACTTTTAATGACATTCACAAAATTAAAAGGCGTTTTCCCTTTCCTATTTAAATTTTAGGCTTGCAAGTGTACATTTAGGATTTAGCAGTCAAGCTAAGCAAACTTTCCATCTCCAGTAGAAAATCCATCAGCATTTTCAGTTAAACAGATTTGACTTGAAGAATTTGCAGTCTTTTCTACCACATTTTGCCTCATTATCTTTATATTTGCTGAGTTTTTTGATGTCTTCAATTCACAGCCAGAGTTTAATGGTAATTTTTGCTCCATCATCTTCCTCCACTAGTTCTACCCATACTGCAGTCTCTTCTTGGAAGAAAGCATGATTCAAAAAGTCCTTAATAGCATATCTTTCGCCTTTGTTTTGCCAAATGCATCCCTCAATAAACTCCTTCACTTCAGGGATTGCTACTTTATCCCTGCTCAGGGAGGTTTAGGTTGGATATTAGGAAGAAATTCTTTACAGAGAGGGTAGTCAGGCATTGGAATGGGCTGCCCAAGGAGGTGGTGAATTCTCTGTCCCTGGAGGTATTTAAGAAGAGACTGGATGTGGCACTTAGGTAATTTTTAAGTTGACCTCACTTCTTTATTCAACATAAAAATGTTGGACAGTTAAAGATTAGCTTTTTGTGAAATTAATTTCAGAAAGCTGTATTCTAAAAGAATTTTAATGTAAACGTTTCTAGCAAACTGAAGTTTGAGGAGGTATAAGACCTATTTCATCATCTTCTCCTAGGGATAACAGCTGCACTGCAGAGCAGCTAACCTGTGCAAAACTACAGTTATTTCAATTATATTTCACTCTGACTTTAATCAAATAAATTGAAAGAACAAGAGTGCCATCAGACTAGAAAATACAGGTATGTTTCAGAACAGCTGGAATGAGATCCAACTTGAACCTAGACAAAAACTGAACTTTTAAGACCTACAGTGCAGGTTGTACTTCAGGTTTTTTGTTTCCTATAACTGTAATGCTCAGTTATTACCATCTAGCCTATATGCATTTTAATCCAACTGGATATTCAATAAATCAGCAGTTTACAAAAAGCTAGGTGAGCATCACATTTGTAACCAAAAAAAATCATGCTATTTCTAGCCATGAAATTGATGTTTTCTGAATGGATAAGTTTTTTGTATGAATTATAAAAATAATTGTTTCAGGTAGTAAGTTTGAACACAAGTTGTGTTCAGAGCTCATTTCTCTCTTCAGTTCCACAGCAGGGCCCCAAAAACATGAAGAAACACCACTTGCAGATGCAAAGAGATCAGTAGCCTTTCTAGTCTCAATTGCAGGTTTGAAACTTAAAACAGCTCCTCTGCTCGTCAAGAGACTTCGGCGTTAGTCTAGTTATCATTTTGAAATCAGCTATTGATTGTAACTGTACAATATTAAGTTCCCAAACAAGGAGTTTCAGGTTTATAAGTAAATAGGCTGATACAGAAACTTTATCTCCAATCTGTCAGCTTGGTGAAAGGTTATTCCACCCAGTGAATTGAAGTGACACTAACAACAGCTTCATCAGAGACCTTCCTCCAGTTTCCCACATAAACATACAAATGTATATAAAAAATAAAAAGAGCTATACACATTTATATAAAAGTTATATAAGCTATTACTCAAAAAAATTTAAAAGCCTGTTTCTTTATGTAATTGCTGGTTATATATCCACCATTTGGAACCGAAATATGACCACTCCTTTTCTAAACATACCAGCAAATCTACTTTAAAATCAGACTGCCGGGTTCAGGAATTAATCACCATTTCCAGGACCAAACAGAAAAGGGCAGCCCGTGGCAAGTCCAAAATATCAACTGCGGCTTAGCTGGTGTTTTTCTGAATAGGCTAATACACATCGGACATGCACTGACGGCTTAGGTCCTTAACAACACTCACCGGAGTCTTCAAATAAGGAAAAAACAGAAGCGTTCTTTTCACAACCCATTTGCCTCCAAAGCTGTGAAAAGCTGCACGGAGCCACATCCCGAGCACACAAACTAAGTGCAATCCCAGCTTCTCCCCGCCAGAGAATCCCCCGCTACACCACGATTTTTAGCATCTTCCCCTTATTATCGAGGCGGGGCCCCTCCGGAGCAGCACCACCGAGCTCCCCGCCGGAGCTCCCACCCCTTCCAGCGGCACGGGCCGCTCCAGAGCCCCTCGCAGGGAGGCACAGCCACAAAACGGCAGGAGGCTGGGAAGGAGGGAAGGAAGGAGGGAGAACAACAACAACGCCCTCGCCCGCAGCGGACGGGCCGGGCCGGGTCGGGCCGGGCAGGCCCTCCCGGCCCCACAGCTCCCGCCGCCGTTCCCTGCCGCCCCCGTGCGGTCCCGCGGCGGCGGCAGTACCTTGGTGGTGCGGATATGCTCCATGGCCGTGCCCGCCCGGCCGCGGCCGCCGCTCGCCCGCCGCGACTCAGCCCGGCCGGGGCCGCTCCGCCAGCGCTTCCGGGCACGGGCGGGGCCAGCGCCGAGCGAGCGCCCGGCAGCGGCCCCTCGCGGCGGGCGGAGGGAACGGCTGAGGGGCGGGGACGGACGCAGGGAAGGGATGGCTGAGGGGCCGGGATGGCTGAGGGGCGGTGCGCGACAAGGACAGCGGGCAAAAAGGTAACGGTACGGAAGTTACAGGGGAAAACAGGACGGCTGCTCCTCCCGTTGGAACGCGGTCGGCGCACCCGGCCTCCCACACGCAGTACAATCCAAGGGGGACTAAACGGAGGGTGGAGCGGAGCGCAGACCCTGCGGCCAAGACTCTGTCGAAACCCTCACAGAGGAGGGAACTCGGTGGTACTCTCCAAATGATGAACTGCACAGCAGCTGAAAGCCAAGGGAGATAAAGGAAGATGTCCTGCTGTTGAACCAGCAACCGTGACGAAATCACTCCCCTTGGACTGACATGTGTCCCCATCCCAAGGTTACCTCAGATACTATACTGAGATACCTGGCCCCAAGGTACAACCACTCACCGAGTAAGAGATAAGACTAAAGTCACTGAAGCTTCACCTAAATGAAAGAAATACTATAACAGTAAGTTAAGAAAGTGGAGAAGTTGGGGAAGACTCCATCGTAACTTCTGGGATCAGTCGATGGGCTGAACATGTCTTCTCCCCCATAGGCATGCACTGGGTAAGAGCTATCCTCTATGCACACTGAATTATTACCTTGAGCTAACTTTTGTTAGGGATTAGAGCTTGTTAGTATATTGCTTTGAATTGGTATATTGCCTTAAATACGTTTTTGCAGTCAGATACTATCACTGGCACTCCTCTAACCTTAGCCTGTAACAATCTTATTAATAAAGAGTGCTGTTCTGTAACCTGTTAAAGTGAGTCCTTCAGGGGCACCGGCACTCGCTGGCAGTGGTGAAAGGTGTGGAGACCCAGGAGGTGGTCTTGCTGGTGTGTGACCCTGAGCAAGTCGGTCAAACCTCCCTTCGATCTATCAAACCGCTCAGGGAAGGCTCCAGCACTGACCGGCTGGCTGGGCACCTGGGGCACTGACAGACTAATCAAACATTAAAGGGTTTGAGAAAATCCCCCCTTTTCACGTGACAGGCAGGGATGGCTGAGGGACAGGAATGCCTGAGGAGCAGCCTGAATGGAGCTGAAGCGGGAGGCACTGGCAGGTGGGGCACGGACAGCGCCACACTGTGTCCCACAGGGAATGGCTGCTGTGCTGGGAGCCACGGAGCTCAGTGCTGGCTGTGAAACCTGGCCTGGCAGCCAGGTGAAAATCTGGCGCTGAGGAGAGTGTCCTGGGTCCTGCGGAGGGATGATAAGTAGGTATGTGGAAAACAAGAGCCATTCACTAGTTATCCAAGTCCCTCTTTCAGTCCGTGAATGGGTATATTCCCGGAAGATTGTTCGTTTTGCTGTAGCATCCCAAAGAGGTGGAAATGCAAAATGTTTAGTCCAGCCCCACTGCTTACGCAGGGCCACTCAGAGCCAGTTGTCCAGTAACATGTCCAGGCAGCTTTTAAACATCATTAAAGATGGAGATTCCACCATCACTTATTTGGGCAACCTCTTAAGTGCTTGATCACTCTTGCAGTGTTTCCCGATGTTAAGGTGGAGCCTCTTGTATTTCAGTCTGTGCCCACTTGCCTCTGGTCTGGTCAACAGGCACCACCAGGAAGAGCCTGACTCTGTCGGCACCCTGCCTTCAGGAATACATGTGAATTGTAAGTGCCCCTTGAGGCTTCTCTTCTCCAAGCTGCAGACTCCCAGCTCTCTCAGCCCTTCCTCATAGGAGAGGGGCTTCAGTCATGCAAACACCAGGATCCTCACCTCGACCTGCTGCTCATGTTTTACTGTTCGACAATGGCTGAACATGAGCCAGCTGTGTGCCCAGGTGTCCAAGAAGCCAATGGCACCCTGGCCTGTATCAGCAGTAGTGTGGCCAGACGGACCAGGGCAGTGATTGTCCCCCTGTACTCAGGGGTAGTCACAGCACTGGTGAGGCAACACCTTGAATACTGCGTACAGTTTTGGGACCCTCCGCCTCAGGAAGGACATTGGGGTGCTGGAGCTTGTCCGTAGACAGGCAAAGGGAGCTGGGGAAGGATCTGGAGCACAAGTCTAAGGAGGAGCGGCTGAGGAAGCTGGCGTTGTTTAGTCTGGACAAAAAGAGGCTCTGGAGAGGATGATTTAAAAACAAACAAACAAACAAAAAAAAAACACCAAAGATGATTAAACATCAGAATGGACCTCCAAGGGTGGTGGTGGAGTCTTTCCCAGCCCCGCTCCCGGGGCGCTGCTGTCGCTTTAAGGGCCGGCGGGCGGTCCCGTGGTGCACCGCGGCGGGCGCGCGGAGGAAGCGTGGCCGGCCGTGCCCGCGCGCTCGGTGCTGCCGTCCCGTCCCGTCCGGTGCGGAGCTCTCCGCGCGCCATGCGGCGCTGAGGGGCCGCCACCCCCGCACACCGACCCGCCCACCCACCGACCCGGCCCCGCCGCTGCCGGGCCCCGGACCCGCTCCCCGGCTGTTCCCGCCGCCGCTGCCGCCATGTCTGCGGGCTTCTCCTTCGGCACGGGCACCCTGGGTTCCGCGGCGGCCGCCGGCGCGGGAGGAGCAGGAGGAACCGGCGGGGGCTTTTCCTTCGGATCCGCCACGCCGAGGTAACGCGGCGCCCCCACCGCTCTGGGCTCGGCCCTGCCCCGCGGCCTGGAGCTGCCGAGCGGGCCCGGGCTGGGCCCGTGCGTGCGTGTGTGAGGGAGCGGGGCAGTGCTGGGGAGGGCGCAGGGCTCGCTCTCGGCGCCTCTACCGCCCCCGGAAGGGCCGAGGGCTCTGGCCCGCACGGCCCTCGGTGCATCGTGCCTGCCCCTCCCGCCTCCTCTGCTGCCCAGGCTGCGCCTTCGGTACAGCGTAGGGAGCGATCTGTTCAGCAGCTCCTAGGATCTCTTCAGCTGCTCTTCTTATTTCGCTTTGTTTCGACTTTGAGTGCCTCCCTTCGCGGTTCTCCTTGCCGTCCTGAGCGCAGGATGTGCTTCAGATGCGTGTCCAGGTGTTTCTTGGCAGTCAGCCTGAGCTTGTGTGCGCGATACGAAGCTCGGCGGTGTTGAAACCCTAATGTACAGTAATGAAAGGTGAAATTCCGTATATCTTTGCGCAGTTAGATTCGACCTCGTGCTCTTTGGTACAACCTCGCATTTGGTATAGAGTTTCTCGGAGTAAAAGGAGCACTTTGATGTCCATGTGGCATCCTAAAAATGTTATGATTTAGGTTTCTCAGAATACCTGGTAAAAGTAAAGGTAAGGAAAGTAAGTCATGTTGCTTTTTCTGCCGTTTTCTGTTTTTTTACGCACAGCTGTACTAGCAGAGACTTTTTATTGTGACCTGCTTGCTGCTGTGCCTCAGTTGAAGATTAAGGGCTGTTGCGTGGCTTAGCATCAGAGTATTTCCCAGATGTGATGAGGCAAAGTTGATCGCTGCAGTGTAAACTAAACAGGTAGTGTGGGCTACTCAAGGGAACTTCACCTGAAGCAGATGTATTTGGAAACACCTGTCAGAAGTGTCAGGAATTAGCACTGTGAGGAGAAGGAAGGGACCAGAACATCTGGATCTGAAGCCCATATGAGAGGGAACAAGTTTTTTTGAGATCCTTGTAATACTGTAAATTTTGTGGTCAGGACAGGCTGGTGACTTTTCCTGCGTTACTTGTGCTTGGTTTTGTTGGGAGAGTTTGTTTAGAGTTTTTTGTTTTGTTTTTTTAATCGATATTTGTTTATTTTAACTCTCATTCTAAAGCTTATATGGACTTGGTAAAGAGTTTAGGTTTCTTTTGCTTCATGCGTTTTTGATGCAGTTTTTTTGTGATTAAAATGAGCAATTTAAAATAATATTTATTTCTTCAAAACCAGTCTTTTAAATGTACTGAAACAAGGCAAACTCTTTTGTCTTGTTGATCTGTACTTGTTAAAAACTGTCTATTGAACTTAAGTATCTTTGGTGGATTGCTTGGTGTTTTTATTTTTATTTTTTTTATTCTAGCTGATGCTTCTATCTCTTAAAGTTTAACAGGTACTAATTAACAGCTATATTTTTATTAATTTATTTATTCTTATAAGCAGGGCTAGTCTTCAGGGCTGTTGGTCAAGGATTATCATAGGGGAAGAAGCCTTTTTACTGCTTTTTGAACATCCTTCTGAGCTGGTTTGCTTGAGAATATGTTTGAGACTATAAGAAGCTGTTCTTCTGTGTTGGGTCTAAGATGGTATTGACAGGTGTTGGGAGAAAAGGGGCTTTATTGTTTAGTCCAAGCATAAATGTTATTCATCAGTGTGACTGGTCCAAGATTATATTCTGTTGGCCCAAAGCCTCTGTGACATGCCAACCCCTCTAATTCCTGCATTGTACAACCAACCATTCAGGTACTCGCGCTCTTTCTTAATTTATGTTCTCTCGTATGTTTTAGCCAGGTGCAATGGTTTGTTCTAGGTCTAAAATTAGAGTTAAGACCTGACTTGAGTGACCTGAGCTCCTCTTCCTTCCATCTGCAGGGAGTAGATAGTCCTTCTGGCCCATGCTTTCTCCTCCTGCTGAGAATGCTGCCATTGCTTTGTTCCTACATTTTGATTTTATCTATCTTAAAATTCAAGCAAAATGCCACTTCATTTTATTTGGTTTGGGTTTGGTTCGGGTTTTTTTTTTGTCCTCCTTTAGAGCTGAATTACACAGTTTGTACCTTAGCTTTCTTTTACTGAAATACTAAACTGAGAAGATTCTTCACAGAAGAGTCATAGTCATCTTTTTCTGGACTGGAAGAAGATGAGAAACATAAACTCTTGACTAGGGAGAGAAGAATGTTCAAGTTTGTGAGTAGTTAGGTCATGATACTGTAGTTTGGTATGTTGAAATTTTGGGAGTAAAGAATGCTGAAATGCTTTGGATCCTATGGGACACTTAGACACAGTGGGTCTATGTGTTTCTAAAGTTCTTGGCTATTCTACTTCCCAAATAACTTCTTTAACTCACACCTAGATTCTGAACTTGCAACCAACTTTTACTGGGCTTGCCAGAAGTGGTTTTGTAGATGGCTTGAAAAGTTCTAATGCAAAAGCTAATTATAACTTTCTTTTTTTTTTTTAAGGATTTACTTTTGTGTTTAACTTATGTTAGGAGCTGCCTTCATAAAAAAGGAGAGAGGAGATAAAGGAACAGTGAAAGAATACTGAACACTTAAAACATTCCTTGACAACTGTTACCCAGAAGTCTAAATTGCATTTTGTTTCATTGCTACTGTTATACTTTTGCAAAATGTGTCTAAGTTAGAGACAGCTTACCTTGTTTCTAAAAAGACTCACAAATGGGAGCAGGAAGTTACTACAAATATATTATTTGTCTAATCTTTTGTAAATTAAGAACAAAATTTTTAAAATCATCTGGCTGTGATTTGAGATAATAATGATTATAGTATTCTCCTGTGTTTTGTACAATGACAGTGTATTCTGTGCTAAATGTAAAGCTTGGTCTCTATCTGGCATGAAACCTCTAAAATGTGTAGTTACCCAAAAGAAATTAAAAAGGCTTAATTTTCCTAGCGATGACTGATCTCTGATTTTCCCCGTCCTTTCTCTTCCCCTTCACCTTTGAAAATAGTTCTCGAAGCTTATTTCTGTAACTTTGACACGTAGACAGAGAGAAAAGAAAGTATGGTAGGCATGGGTCCTCTGCAGTTGGCACCTGTGTAAAAGGATAGTGTTTTGGTAAGAAAATTAATTCATGCTTCAGTGTATTTTGATGGTAAGATAAGGCAAAATTGTGTTATTGCTGTGAATGGTTCTGTGTTGCTGCTTATCACTTAAGAATGACAGAAAGCAGCACTGGTTGAGGTTTCTGGTCAGAGGTAACTAACTGGACTTGTAACCTGCTCTGAAAAGATCTCCTTACAGATTTGTTGCAATTTTTGTGCTTCCTCTAGCACTTGTTCTCTCTCCCATTTCAGTGGAACAGGAAGAATAATCAGGCAGAACTAATTAGATGATTTAACAGAGAAAAGTTGAAACTTCTCAGTGGTCTAGCAAGATCTAGGAGTTCATCAGGAGTTGAACTAATGCTGGAGTTAGTGTCAGGGAAGCAATGGGAGTTAAAGAGCTGTGGAAGGAAAAAGGGAAATGGGCTTCTTTCTGTTTGGTGGCAGTGAGCTTGGACTCTGTCTTGCTCAGCTGGGTTGTTTGTGGTTTGGGAAAGTGAATGATGGCATTTCAAAGAAATTGAAATGAGGGGTGGTGGTGGATGTTTTCATTTGGATCTGTAATTGTTGCTAATAGTCTTATTTTGTAATAGCTCAACGGGAGGACTTAATTTTGGAACTCTGGGCTCTTCCACTGCTACAGCAACTACATCGACTCCTTCAGTGGGCTTTGGGAGTGGACTTTTTGGATCAAAATCAACCACTGGCTTTACACTAGGAAGCACCAGTACAGGTAGAAAAGATTCTTGTACAGCAGAAATTTGATTCAGCAGTAAAAAAATTAATTATATGTCCACAAAAACTGACATAGTTTTGTAAAACAGCTTAATTGAGCAGTTTAAGAGAGTGTTAATTGTGAATCATTCAGTACCAGTGCTGCAGAAACACAAATGCAATTACCAGAAAACTGCCTGGGCTATGTGTAAATTGTTCCATAATTTGAATCCTGATATTTTTTAGAAATCTAAGTCTTGAGTCCTAAGTCCAGGATGCTCAAAATTATGATGTAAGAATGAGCTGTATTTTGAACTAAAATATATTTTAAAACATTTGAAATTGCTGACATTTGTAATGCAGTATATGTAATCCTACAGTAGTAAACATTTCTGGGTTTGTTGGGGGGTTTTAATGTTAGCAATACACGTGAAGAAATTGAATAATATTTTCTTAGGTCTCTAATTGAGCCTATAAACAGACAGCTTCTTATGGAAGTAACAAAATGTAAAAGAGTAGAACTTTTCTAACTGGAAGTGGTTTTTTTCAGCCATCAAGCAGACATAATGGATTTTACTTTGGCTCCAATATTGCTAGACTAAATGGTCTCTTTCTTCTTTTATGCTGCTGTGAGTAGATAGGGAAAGTTCTAAGAACCAGTCTACTACAAATAAATTCGACAGTAGACTGAAAGCCTGTATTACTGTGGTTGGCTACATTGGGGTAATTTTCTTTTAGCTCTCAGTGACTCTTTTGAATTTTTAGTCAGGTGGTTTTTAAAATATGAAATGGTGTAACACTGTGTTCAGTATAATCTCTTTAAGTTACCAGTGGGGCAGAACCCTAAACTGAGACACAGGATTTTACAAGGACTTTGGACTCTATAATCCTCTTCATTATACTGTAAATCTACTGGCTTACATGCTGATATTATATACTACTGTATGGCTGAAAAAAATACTTGATGGAATTACTAGTTTCCATTTTTTTACCTTCATTTGCTTGAAGTTTCATACAGTTTGCTAATCTGCTGTGTTAAAATCAGCTTCACTGGTAGCAGTTTCTTATAAAGAAAAATGATTTTTAAAGTAAGTTATGCTTTGATTTGTGCTGCTGGTGCTTACAAATACTGTTTTCTGTGTTAGTGTTTTATTTTAAAACAGACTACAGAAAAAAATAGTTGTCTACAGAAAAAACAGTTGTCTCATAATGTTGCATTATTTGAGTGTTTTGTTTCATGTTTGTTACGTCATGACTTCTCTGTGATTATCAATTACTCTTCTTACTCTGTTTATTTGTTTTCATTCTTAAAGCAGGAACAGCAACAACTGTTGCTACAGGACTGACACTAGGTAAGGACCTAATTTGTATTTTAATGTTATACAGACACAAGAAAACCCCAGGAGATAGATCTTTCCTGTAATGCAGAGTTAGTGATCATATGTGAACATGTGTATGCCAGCCCAAAAGTTAAGGCTGCAAACCAGAGTGAGACCCTGCACTTCTGGGCACTGTTACTTGGTAAAGGGTTATTCAATTCCTGTACAACAGTCACAGTGAAAAGTTAGGCTTTGTTTTTATGTTCCTCTAATGAGTTTCATCCTTCAGCAGAGGGGAGGTAGAATATGTTATCAGAGAATTATTCATACAGAATTTCTTCTTCTAATGAACTCTGCTGTGAACAAGTCTGTTTGGTAATTACCTCTTTTAGAAGAATAAATAGAGTTGAACTGGAACAGACTTTGAGAATATTTTTTGCTTCTCTGATGCACCTGTGGTGACTGTTTTTCAACTGTCATTAGAAATACAGGAATATGTGGGTTGTTGTTGGGTTGGTTTATTTCATGTTGGTTTTTTTTTTTTTTTCCTTTTTAAACATCAGCAACTGAGGTCTGAGGAGTAACTGAGCTTGAGTACCACAAATGTTAGGGATGGGGGTGGTGCTGCAACACTCACTGCAGTCAAAGAACTTAGGAAGTCATACTAAGAATGAATAGGAAAATTAGCGTTGAATAAGGAAGCAAATGAAATGGGCAGAAGAAGGGAGGAGCAGCTGCTAACCCAGAAGAGACTGTGTGATGTGTAATCTTCCATGGAAGGCAGTACTGTGGTGATGACCATTAATTCTTTTCAATAGCTAAATGAAATTATTTTATCCAAAACAAGCAGCAGTTATTGAGAATCCAAAGTATGTGTTTGCTGTTGCGGTTTGTGTATGTGGGTGCACACTCCTCTTTTACTTTGGAGTATGGATTCTAGAATGTGAGATGTGTTCCTACTGTGAAAACAGCATGAAGTGGGAACTTTTATTTGTTTTACTTTAGAAGTGTTCAAAAGCAAAGTTTGAGGCAGTAACATCCCGACAGATTTTTCTTGTTTGCAAATTGAAGGGACACGTGCATTCATTTTGGTATACACATCCAATTGAGAATTTTTACTCTGCATTTTGAGCAGTATTGTTTATAGCTCCAATTACCTATATTTGTGTCATCTACTAGATGCTCTTGGTGGAAGCTTTTTTTTATTTTTTGTTACAATTTTTTTAGATTGCCACTAGATATAATTAGAGCCTATTGGATCCCTAGAAATTCTGGAGCTAAAAATGTCTGTGCATGTCTGTGCTAAAAATGTCTGTGATGTAAATCTCTGAAATTTATTTGAAAGTGCTGTGGGAATATTTTACGTGATGCAAGGGATCCTGCACACTGTGGTGCTTATGATGGTTAAATGGGAAGAATGGAGAAAAGATGGTGAATTTAGCATTCATTCTTGAAACAGAATGTTCCAAGAGCGATAATTGGTTTTGGGTTTCTTTTAGGCACGCCTGCCACCACATCAGCAGCTACTACAGGCTTTAGTTTAGGTTTCAACAAACCTGCAGGTTCAGCCACACCATTTGCTTTACCTGTTACTTCTACCTCAGTGGGTGGCCTGGCATTATCATCTGCTCTTACATCAACTCCTGCAGCAGGTAGGCCAATGTTTAGGGGTTTGGGGGGTTTTTGTTTGTTTTTTTAATAGTAAATATCTATTGTAAAACAGTTCTATGTCTTATTTTTCTTTTATTTACATAATTTTATGATACTTTAATGAAAAGGTTCATTGGACTTCCTGAGTTCTCAATTTAGGTACTGTAATATAGATAGAATTATGGCCAGTATACCAGGTGATGTAGACAGTATATAATCTAAGTCATTAGAATTGTATCAAGAGCTATGAAGAGCAATAGCTATTCATAATGTAAAATAATTTTTCTTATTGTCAACCTGACTGAAGGTTGAAAACTACTTTCTTTCACAGCTGGAGAGTTTGAAAAATGTCTATCTATTGCAGATGGCCTGAAATGGTTAACTAGTAGCAGAAATAAGTTTTTTTCCAAATTACTTCTTGTACTGACATACACCTACCCATCATATTTAACTCAACTGAACTACATCATGCATGATAATAATTTAGACTGGAGTTCATTTTTTTTATCCTTAGGAGACTTCATTTGAGCTCAGCTATCTATTCTCTCTGCTCTGTCCCTTTATGCCTATGATCTTTCTCTACTTGATTCTTCCCTGTCCTACCAAAAGCTGGGATGCTTAATTCCAGAAGACAGCTCAAACTACCATTAAAATGTTCTTAATGTTAAGCATAAACATTAAAATTTCAGCATTTTAATATAAGAATCAGTAGCATTTATTAGTTCCATTATGGTGTAAAATAAATTCTGTGCCAGGTTTTCTAGATTCTCTAGTGTTCTGGGGAACTGCTAAAATTTCTCTATAGTTGCAGGTAAATATGGACTGATCAGGTTTATGAGGTTGTAGAACAAGATAACATAATTCCGAAGTCTATGGCTGTGGCTGAAAAATCTGAAGGAAATAAAAATGTTTGAGTTTATCATCTGATTATGATGAACATGCTGTTCAGACCTTTCAGTTATTTGAGATTGTCTATGGACACATTTGAATGCAGTGTCTACATAAAGCTGGTTTCCTTTCTCGGCAGGAACTACTGGCTTTACATTAAATTTGGGTGGCACAACTGCTCCAACTACAACTGCTTCCACAGGCCTTTCCTTAGGAGGAGCCTTAGCAGGTTTAGGAGGTTCACTCTTCCAGAATACAAGCACAGCAGGAACAGGTAAGTTATTTTAGTTTTTTTGCTCCTTCTGTCTCAAAACATTGAAATTTAATATGTGATTGTATAAATTCATAACTTAATTTTATACAAAGTCTTAATGCTGTGAAATTGTAACTTTTAACAGTGCTACAGTTAAGAACAGTGTTACTGTCCCATGGACAATAGAAATTATATCTGAAATAATTGGCTCCTTTCTTATTCTTAGAAATGTATGTACTTAATACTTTTTTAAAATGAAAGTGCAAGGAAATCTTTGTCATTGCCATAATTAACTCAAGGAAGTTGATGATATATGAGAGAGGGCAATGATACAAAAATACCTATAACTGGAGAAGCTGAAAGGTCTTTATTTTGATGGGTTTTGGTCTGAATAAAATCTTTCACTGTTAGTGTTGTCATTTCATGGCTTCCTTCTTTCAGCTCTAGAGGAAGAATTTGTGCTTTGTTGTAGTTTTGGTAACACTGCTCTTAAATGAAACAGATAGATAGTTACGCTCTCATAAAATGGTTGGGTTGGAAGGGACCTTAATGATCATCTACTTACAATCATCCTGCCAAAGACTGGGATGCCATCCACTGGACTGGATGCAGCATTCCAGATGGAGTCTCACGAGGGCAGAGTAGAGAGGCAGAACCACCTCCATCACCCTGCTGGCCATGCTGCTTTTGATGCAGCCTTAGGATATGATTGGCTTTCTGGGCTGCAAGCACACACTGTTGGCTCATGTCCAGCTTTCCATCCAAAAGAGTTCCCAAGTCCTTCTCAGCGCTGCTCTTAATGGGTTCTCCCAATCTGTATTCCCATCTGGGATTTCCCCCCACCTAGGTGCAGCACCTTGCACTTCATGAGGTTCTCATGGACCTACTTCTCAAGCTTGTCCAGGTCCCTCTGGATGGAATCCCTTCCTGCTATTGTCATCTGTACTGCTCAGCTTCATTCAGTCCCTTGCAAACTTGCTGAAGGTGCACTTGATCCCACTGCCTGTGAAATGATGAAGATATTGAAGAGCACCAGTCCCAAAACAGAGCCTTGAGGGACACCACTCATCACTGGCCTCAGTGTGGACATAGAGCCATTGACCATACCTCTGGCTGCATCCATCCAGCCAATTTCTTAACCACTAAATAGTCCACCCTTCAAATCCATGTCTCCAGTTTGGAGATAAGGATGTTGCGTGGGACCACGTCAAAGGCCTCACAGAAGTCTAGGTAGATGACAACAGGTGGTTGTACCTTGTCAGAAGTTACAGTCACTCCGTGATGAAAAGCCCCCAGACTGGTCAGACATAATTTGCCTTTAGTGAAGCCATACTGTCTGTCTCAAATTGCCTCCTTGTCTTGCATGGGCTTTAATGTTGCTTCCATGAGGGTCTGCTTCATGACTTCCAGGCACAGAGGTGAGGCTCAATGGTTTGTAGTTCCCCAGGTCTTCCTTTCTTACCTTTTAAAGAATAGGAGCGATGTTTCCATTTTTCCAGTCACCGGAGGCTTTGCCTGATCACAATGGCTTTTCAAACATGATAAAGACTGTCCTGGCAACATCATCAGCAAGTTCCCTCAGGACCCTGGGATGTATGTTATCATAGACTTATGGCTATTCAGCTTCATCAAGTGGGCTCAAACTGGCTCTTTGCTTAAGTTAGTGATCTAATTAGCTACCAAGTAACGTGAAGAAATTGCATAAAACACTTGCGTAAAGTTGTATGAAACTTTATGCAATTTGTTTTCTTCTCTGCTTATTTTGTATATTTTTTAATCCAAATGTAGTAATGGACACTAAAACTGTGAGCAAGTTTATATGTGCTTTTAGTTTAAAATGAGTTTGAATTATCAACACTTCATCGCAAAAATGCTGTTTGGATTTTTTGTAGGACTTGGGCAGAATGCTTTGGGTTTGACTCTGGGCACAACTGCGGCTCCTTCAACTACTGCCAATGAAGGTCTTGGTGGCATTGATTTTAGTAGTTCTTCAGACAAAAAGAGTAAGTTTTTTTAAAAACTTTTTTTTTTTAATTGAGAGAATTATCAGAATGCTACAGCAGACACCATTTCATTGTGTGAGGAGTGGGGAAGCTGTCAGCTTTTAACTTCCTCTCCCTTACAAGGCATTGCAGTTAAATTCATTCTTAGATATTGTGCTTATACAGAAGAAGATGATCTTGTGTACAAATGCAATGTAATGTAAATGAACTTACTTATGTAAAAATAAGTGTAGGCTAGTGTCATGCTTGAGAACCAAGATCTTAACCTTTTAGCTTTCTGGGAGTGAAGACTCTTAGGGCTGCTTGCTGAGATGCCATCACAGGTTTCTGTAGAGCTCTATGTCAGATTGTCACTAGAGGGAGGAGGAGAGCTATGTTTGAATAGTGCAAATATGAAAAGTACTGCTTTGAAATCAGCGTTCTCCAGCTGTAAAAGATCTTAAACTTGGTTTCTTCTTTTGAAAGCCTGCACAATTAAAATGGACTAATTTTACATGTTACTCTTCAAAGCTGTGTTTCTGATGGTATGTAGTTCTGTATCTGATACATTCTATCAGGTTCTTATAACAAGTTACAAAAACTTTATTTCTGTGGTAGCTTTGAAATACTTAAGTAAGGAACTACTGAGCATTGGTATATGGGTACTTAATTTGTCTTGCTTTAAACTTCCAGAGCTTAACTAAAGCTGATTCTAAAATGTGCATTTTCTCTGGTGAATCAGTGCTCTTAATTTAATTTCTTGATTTCATTCAGGAGTGAAATTTTGAGTTGGGTATGCTAATAGTTAAAAGAGAAGAAAAATATAGAAGCTCTATGAAACCATTTTTACAAAGTAACATAAATTGTGGAGAGCGATGTCTTCTTACTTCTAGAAGAGAGGGCGTTATCGCCTGTCCAAACTCGAGTGCTCTGCATGATGTTGTTTTTGGAGTTTATTACTGAAACTGAGGGTGATGAAAAGCTCTGATTCCTGTGTACTTGTGAGATTTCCATTACTATGATACTGGGATATCACAACACTTCCATAAAATACAAGTGTCATAAAATGAGGACCAGAGAACCACAGACTCAAAATCTACTTTGGTAGTAGTGTTGTTTTCTTCATCTCTTAGGGCAGCAACTTGTGTGAATATCTGACTTCCCCTATATGTTGAAGAGTGGAACTGTGTAAGTTGGACTATTGCTGTCAGGATAAGCAGAGATCCCTTAAGCAGTGGGAAATGTCAAAGGAGACTGATTTTTGTGGTTTTGTTTTAATTTAGGAGTGTTTCTCATAATGGCTAGTGCTGGCTTAGGCAGCCCTGACAAATATCCCTATTTATGTGCTGCTACATAGTTCTGTCTGTACAGTTGTTTGTACTATTGTTTGAGGAACTGTATCAAGGTTTGAGAGTGGTGGTTTCTATGATTTTGAGGGTTTTATTTCTTTTTTCCTCATGAGAAAAGGAAACAAGAGATGTGGCTAGCAAAGAAAAGTGCCCTAGAAATCCCAGGACAGATAGGGACTAGTACCTGTGTTCTCTCCTCTGGAACTGGTTATAAAAGCTTTTCCTTCTGAAAACTGACTGTCCTGCATTTCTTTAAAATATAGTTGCAGGAAAAAAAAGCTGTTCTAATTTTTATGCATGTAGTGCTAAAAAGAATATTTAAAAATGTAAAATCTGAAGCACTTGCTTGCCCAGGAAGTATTAAAATCTGATTTCAAATCTGCATGTTTTACTTTATAAGTATTGTACAGATGTACAGCAAAAACAAAACAAAAAAGAGAGAGAAAGGTGTCTGGAGAGAGAAAGCAAAGCACATTTTTCGGTTGTCAGCAGAGAAAGAAGTCCTAAATTCTGATTTTCTCCCAACTTGCTATAGATTTATTTTTTTCCCTTAGCAAAGTGCATAAGGAATGGTTGTGAGTGCAGGCTCTCTAATGTACTGGATGACAGTCTAGACAATTAAGTAGATGTTGCTTCTAAAAGTAGTAGCTACTCCTGGCAGAAGCACCTGACTTGTGCAACTTAAAACTTAGTTTGTGGTACTAGTGTTTAGTTACTTTCTGTCTTGGTGGCACTGAGAACGAAGACAGGATTTGAATTGGATCCAGCTGAAGATGAAGCCAGCTTCTTGGGCTTTCAATTGAGTGTTCTTCCTAGCAGACTGCTGTGGTATGGGATGCAATTACTATCCCTGGCCATAACTAGAAATAGTTGTGATTTGTGTTATTCATGATACTGTTTTCAGCTGTGTTCTGTCACTCAGAGGCACTTGGCATCTTGATCCACAGATGTGTAATTTGGAGTGTGCAGGTAGTAGGTAAGCAGTAACATCTGCAGTTCTGTAAAACCTCATTACTACAGTAGCAGAATTCTTAGGGAACTCCAGTGGGCAAACGTTCATTACCTTTGTATTTGAGAGGAATCTGTTGTTGCTGAATTTAAACACTTGAATGTTTTTTGAGTGCAGGTCTAAGTGAGTTGTGGTTGCATAAGCAGGAACAGATTTCTTATGCAACTGCAGTTGTTTATGCATTTGTAGTGACTTACATAGTGCCAAAAGATGTTTTGCATTACTCTGTATGCCAGGAAATTAGCACCTCAACTGTTGAAGCATTGGTTGTGAAAAGATAGTTATCTGTGAAGGGGGAGTAAATTAAAACCTTCTTCCTTTTAAGGCTAGTCTGGTCTATTCTGCTTATCAAGAGAAACCAAGCAGATTGTAGTCATTAGTTGTTTTGTTTGTTCTTCAAAGCTTTAGTTCTGACACACAGTTTTTATTTTTCTAGGTGACAAAACAGGAACAAGACCAGAGTAAGTGTCAGATTTTCTTTGCATTCCATGTCTTATTAGAAAACAGCTGAACAAATATTTTAGCTTTTCTACTGATTTGATATTGAAAAAAGAGTAGATGTACATAACCAACACTTGCAATATGAGCAATTTAGTAGTGTTGGCTCATCGTGTTAAATGTGGCAATTCTTCCTTTAAATGCAGTACCTACAACTTTTTTTGGCAGCTGCTGTAGGCTGATCATCTTGGCCTGAAAAATGGTTTCTGCAAACGTTTATAATGCTTACACCACAGGCCTGGACCCTGGCATAGTATCTTTAGTGTGCGTTAATCGTAATAATTCCTAGCTGCAATGTTGGTGCAATGGGTGCAGAACTAATCACTCACTTGAATGTTTTAGCGATGTTTGGTAGTTATGCAAAAATGTTTGGCAGTATGAAAGCACCATCTAAGCGTTCATTGTCTCTCACAGAGATAGCAAAGCACTGAAGGATGAAAATCTACCTCCAGTAATCTGTCAAGATGTAGAAAATCTACAGTAAGTAGTGGTTTTAATTTGTGTAATTGGTTAGCTAAAGTACTGTGTGCTGTTGATACTCTGTCAGGAACACCCTACTGGAGGCTGCATGGAGGATGATTAAATTAGCTCAAGGCCTTTTAGCAGGTCAGCCTTGGTAACAGAGTAGGTGGATAGTTCTAGTAGCCGAAGTCTTAGTCTGGGTTTTTTTCAGTCTTGCTTTTTCATGCATTTATGCAAATGGGCCTGCCCAACAATATATTCTTGCAATCTTAGCCATCTCTCCCTAGGAGTACTAAGCTTGTTGTACGTGCATAGTTAGTATTGAACCTTATGTCCATATTGCACATGCATTGTGGCTCTCATGGAATAGAGAACTGCAAAAGAGCCTTCCCTCAACCAGGAAGGAAATGAATGGGTTGTAGACTTGGCTGTATGTCAGTGTGAATTCAAAGTAGTAATTGCTCTTATATAGATGCTATATATTATTATATATATATATACATAAAAAAAATATATCTTAGTTTGTCATTCAGCATAACATACTTAAACACTTGCTATTTGAAGTTAAGGGTTTTTGGGGAGGGGGTTTGTTTTCATTTTTGTTTTGTGGGTTTTTTAACAGAATTAGCATGCTAGGAGTTAAGATAGTACTATACCATACAGCAATTTTACTGTTCAGTACTTTGTTTTGGAAAAAATAATAGCTGTTTAAGTGACCAAGAGGTAAACACTTGTGTACTTCAGGTTCAATATGTTATATTTGTTTCTTCCTCACCCCCGTCTCTTTACCTTGCCCAGGAAATTTGTGAAAGAACAAAAACAAGTTCAGGAAGAAATTAGTAGAATGTCCTCTAAAGCAATGCTCAAAGTACAAGAAGACATTAAAGCTTTGAAACAGCTTCTGTCTGTAGTTGCCAGTGGATTACAGAGAAACACTCTTAATATTGACAAGCTGAAAGTTGAAACTGCACAGGTATAAATGAATATAAATGTTGTTATGTAGAGTTTGTGTGCTGATTGTTTCATATAGGATAACTAACCTTCTGTATCGGTAAAGTTAACACATGCATCCAAACTAAAACAGTTGTAAACAAAATGAAAAATTGAATCACTTCTGATCTATTTGAAGTTACTGGGAGAGACTGAAATCTGTGATGTCAGTATTTTCAGATAAGTACAACAGCAGTAAAATTATTTTATTCAAGAAAGCATTCCTACCTAGCAGAGGCAACAGAAGGGATTGTGTGCCCACTTTAGTTCAGTTTCAGTAATATATTCAGCTGCTGGTGAAGACACCTTTGTAACAATGTACTGGACTCTGGAGCAGCAGACATGCAAGTATGTTTTCTTCTGATTACTTTGAAAATAAATGACCAAACAAAAAACCACCCCATAATATTTCAGGAACTAAAATATCTTAATTAGCACTAGTTTTCATTTAGTGAACTTGAGTCACAACTCTGTCCATCAGTCTGTGTCTTAGCTTTGCAGGCAGTTTGAGCTTCAGTTTTGATACAAATGCTTTTCAGGTGAAGTTCTGTACCACTTTTTATTTCATCTAGCATGTCAAGTATTGCTATATAAATAAATAATATTTTAATCTGAAGTAAAAATGTTGATGGTTTTCTCTGTATTTTATTCTTTAGTTGTGCCTTGCCAAGAGTTTTCTGTGAAAACAAAACCTTGTTAATTATATTCTCATATTTCTGTACATGATGCAGTTGAGTATAATCACAGAACCAGGCACTGAGAAATTCTTAATGATGGAGTTATTAGAAATACTAAACAGAAGTGTATGCTGTAATTACCAGGCATAACATGATGATTTCCATAGAGAGGCATTTTTCTAAATTAGTAATATTTTCTTAAAAAGGCAAAATAATCTTTTTGCTATATTTCTTCTCTTTTAGGTGTGTTACTTCCTTGCACTTGAATGTTGCTTTTTTTCCCCTCTAGTCCTCAGTAATTATAACAATATTTCTGAAGTACAATAGAAAGATCTTATCTCTGACAGCTTAGTGTAATATTTTCTCAACTTTTGAGTGCTTCAGGTGCTTTCAGTATGTGCTATCTTTTGTTCCTTCCCCAAACTTCTGTTAGTATTTGCAGTTCTCCAACTTTCTGGCAGTCTGTTCTTTGGAGAAATTCTGGTCAGATTCTATCATGATCTTAACATAAATATATGAAAAAAATACTTTATGTGAATGAACAGTAGAGTCCTAGCTATTTTTATTTTTGAACACTTCATACAGAACCTTATATTTTATTAATTTTCCCTATTGATTTAGGAGCTAAAGAATGCAGAAATAGCATTACGAACTCAGAAAACTCCTCCTGGTCTTCAGCACGAAAATACAGCCCCAGCAGAGTGAGTTGCTGTTATTTGTGAAAATAGTCAATAATACAACTTAAAGAAGAGAAGAGTTGAGGAGACCTTATTGGAGCCTTTCAGTACTTAAAAGAGGCTTGTAGAAAAGACAGGAACAGACTTTTTAGCAGGGCCTATTAGAACAAGGGGTAATGATTTTAAATTGAAGAGGGTAGATTCAGACTAGACATAAGGAAAAAAATTTTTACAATGAGGGTGGTGAAACACTGGAAAAAGTTGCCGAAATAGGTGGTGAATGCCCCATCCCTGGAAACATTCAAGGTCAGGTTGTACAGAGCTCTGAGCAACCTAATCTCATTGAAGATATCTCTGCTTATGGCAGAGGATTTGGAAGGGACCTTTCAAGGTCATCTAGTCCAACCTAACCATTCTGTGATTCTGTGAACTTATTACAATTTTTTTCTGCTTCTTATAGCATGGAGTGCGTCACAGAATCGGTGTTTTATTTCTGCATTTAATTTATCTTAGTGTCTTAGACTTCCAGAGTAAAGTGATGTCAGTAATGTCGTAGAACGTAACCGTGCAATGAATTGAATGAAAATTGGCAGCTAATACAGATTAGATAAAAAGTATTGGCAAAGTAATGAAGTATAATTATACAATTTCTTTGATTTACTCATCTAGCTACTTCAGAATATTGGTTGAACAGTTTGAAGTACAGCTGCAACAATACAGGCAACAAATAGAAGAACTGGAAAATCATCTTGCTACTCAAGCAAATAATTCACACATAACTCCACAAGGTAAACATTTCAGTTTTAATCTTTCATACATGAAGATTTAAGCAAACTTACACCTTTAACATAAACTTAGTAATTAATCTCTCTCTCTTATTATTGTTGACTTTTCTCATTTAATATACAGAAATTAGTGTTCAGATGTATTCCTTAGTTCTTCAGTGTAAGCGTTTGGAATGAAAGGTTTTCATAAAGTTTCTTGAGCTTTTTAAGATGGATCCAGTTTCTGAGGTGTGATTTGTAAGCTTGGTTTGTTTTGACATCCACATCTCCCTCCAGCATCTAGGTGATGTCTGGCACCTTCTGTCTTGCACTGGGCTGTCTGACCAGGCAAATATGAGTGCCTCCTCTGCCAGCTCCAGATCAGAATGGGAACTTTTTCTTAGTTTGGAGGCTGTTGTTATTACCTTCAGCTCTGATCGACTAAGAAAATTTAGTCTTGTTTGCTGCCACATCATTCAATCTTGAGAAAACCTTTCTGGTTAAAGAATACTGACCCCTATTCAGTAGTTTTCTGTTGGTTACCATTCCTGTGATCATAAACAGTTTTATCTTTTGGACCATTTAGATACAGGTCCTGCAATAAGCAGTGATTTCAAGTGCATGTCTTTCTGTGCTAAATGAAATGTGAACATTTTGCCATCACAGGATGGTACATAAACTATGGACCTTATATGTCAAAAAGCAAGAGGATTGTGTAGACCTAGCTTCCAGAGTAGAAAATCTGCTGAATCCTGGGGTTCCTCTCTCTTTCTGTGTGGCCTTCTTGTCCATCAAGAGTGTGAGAGGGATGCCTTCACAGATTTTCCTAAGGTTTTTCTGCTATAGCATAAAGGTTCCTTGCTTGTATGGAAAAGGCTCAATCTGTTGTGCCTGTATGAGCATACTGTTAACAAATGATACAGGGCTCTGGTCAACACTGTATTGCATATGTAGCCTTTCCATACAGGAAAAACTTAATTTGCCATGCAGGACTGTATGACTCAGAATGTCCTGAAAATTTGAAGTGTCTAGTATTCAGTATCAATAGATGGCCTCCAGAGTCTTTGGAAGCCTGGGGCCAGTATTCCTAGACAGCACTGCCTCCACAACCCTGCAGGGTGGCATGATGCTAATTCCAGAGTTTTTCATTTTTGTAATGGAGAATTTCCGCTATGGAGAGACGGGCATTTTCAGTTCAAGAATCATTGCTAGATCTACGCATCTTCAAGAACATGATAGCTACTATTTGCATTTCAATAGCTTATATGGATCCTTCAGAAGAAATGCAAGTGATCTTTTTACAATGAAAGGCCACTTCAGCACTCTTCTGTCCTCCACTTTGGTACATTGTTTCAGTGCTTCTTTGAGAAGAGTAATTTTGTCAGCAGATGCCTCATTTTGTCAAAATCTTTGAGATTTCCCCTTTAATACTAAAGTTTTGTGTTAGTTGGGTCAGTGCCCTGAAAATACTTTCATATCTTTGTAGGAAGTATGATATCCTAAATACAAGACTTTTGTAAGCAAGAAGCTCCCTGTTGTTTTTCTTTGTTTGTGATGTGCTTGTGGGTTGAGCTAAATTAAGAGTTCCCATGATGCCTGTTAAAATTATGTCTTTTAAATGTAAATAAATCTTCCATTCTCCTGCTATTTCTGACAAAATCAAGTGAACATTTAACTGTACTTTAAGTCAGAAAGGGTGGAAAATATATACAAATGCAAGAAAATATCATTTAACTGTATATAGGTAAAAGCTGATAAGGTAAAAATGTTCCTTTGTAAATGGATAAAGTTAGTTTAAATATTGTTTTTTAGCTTTGCAGATGATAGAGTCATAGCAAACTATTTACTGTACATATAAAAATAAATCTGAGCAGAGAGCACTTTTCAAAATAAAGTTTGAAGCCTTGTGTCACCCAATTGCTGTAATCCTGTATTTCCTATAGGCATTAACTTGCTCACATCTTTATGCTCTATGGGTTTTGGGTGAGCTTCTTAATTTAGTATAAATACTAAATCTTCTGGTAATTGTCACTTACGAGTCTTTTATATACCTCTTACAGATTTGTCTATGGCTATGCAGAAAATCTATCAAACATTTGTAGCTTTAGCTGCACAACTTCAATCAATCCATGAAAATGTAAAGGTATGTTGTTTTCATGTGCTCCTGTATATTTAATTAAAGGACTGCAAAGAGTCGTTTTTTGAGAATAAATCTTTAGGTTTTCTTTTTTTTTTTTTCCCTTCTGTTAAATTCACTGCTTTTAAAAATTTTCAAACTGTCCTGGAGAAGTGCTTTGATTAAAAAAGTAACTTTTGTTCAACTGAAGTCTAATTTGAAGTATTTACTGGTAGTGATGATAGCAACTGGCCACAATCACTCGGGTTACAAAATGTTTTTCATTTAACTCCTTTCCTTATAACTGTTGACCGGTTTTTGAAATGTCTGTCTTTGATCTCATGCTTTTATGTTTTGATTTCTGCCTAATGACCTCTCGATCTCAAACAAAGATGATTTAAATCTGCTCTTGATCAAATAGGTAATAGGAGAAAAAAAAGTAAGTTTCCATATGTAAGATTTTTCGGCATATCAAAGAATTGAGCTTAAAATTGTATTCTGGCTAGTTTAATTTTTTTAATCTTGGGTTTCATGGTAAGTTCTATGTATAGAAGGAAAAAAAGACTCCTGTGAAAAAATCCTTATGTAACAAAGGTCCTAGTTAAGTCTGGTTTTTTCCATCATGGACTCTGGCTTGATTTTTCCCATATCCTGTTCTGGATATGTTGACAAAATGTCACTATTCTACAATCCATAATTTTTTTGAAAAATTCAGAACCCTTCTTGTTACAAAAACCAAAACAAACCAACTTGGAGAAGAGTACAAGTGTTTGCTTCTGCTAAGTGACTTCCTTAATGGAAATAGGTATCTTAAATCTTCTTCTTGTTTCCTTCTCTAAACTTCTTCTGCAAAGTATTGTTAGTTCTCTAAACATCTGAAACTTTACTTTTCCTGAACAAAGTTCAGGAATACTGAGGATCTTGTATGATGTAGATTGCTTGGATGGTATTGCTTCTGTCAGCGTAGATACTCACTGATTTACAGCTACCTGCCATCAGATATTTGTGGTGCTCTCGGTTGACTGTATTTTGGTACCAGGTATGGAATATGTAAACTCCTCCATATTTTCAGCAGAATTATGCAAAAAGTGTCCCAAATGTCTTCAGGGTTCTTCAGTTCTGAGATCTCTGTGTAGCCTGAACTCATGCAGTGGTCTTTGTGATGAGTTACTGTTGTTCTTCAGTATGAACAATTGGATTAGTATGCAAGTATAAGCAATAGTATCTTCAGTACCTTGTCAGTGTGACTGAATAGGAAAGACCTTTCTTCAGTTTAAGTAGTATTCTGTTGCTTGAAATTAAGGGAATGGTTTGAGGATTTTTCTTTTGGGAAGTTTTTCTGGGATTTAATCTAGTTGGTAGATATGAATGCTGATACTTTGGAAGGCAATTTAAAGCTAAAGCTTCAAAAACCAGAAAAATTAATGTAATGCTTAAGTGAATCTGTCATTATAACCATCTGTTTTAGTTTATCAGCTACAAGATGCTGGGAGAGTAGAGCAGTTTTGAAAACTGCTGTCTCTGCCTTATCTGATGGTTGTCATATGGTTTGTGAAGGCAGAGCTGATATCACAATTCATTCCTTCACCCAAAGTAGGCTTTCTGGTTTGTACATACACTTTGATTCAAAGGTCTGAAGTTGTAAAAAAAAAAAAAAAAAACAACCAACAGGTGGCCTGAAACATCTTTGCATGGGGTTGCTAAATATACTTGTATCACATATGAACATATAGATGTATTCTGTATCCTGGGTCAGTGAAAAGTAAAATGTGCTTGGGCACAATTAGAGTAGATAATGTCATTATCTACTATTATCATTCAGCACAGATTAGCCTTAAGAACTGCTCTATGATGTCTCATGGCATTTGTCAGCTCCTAGGGCAGTGAGTATGGCACTGTATTAAATTTCATCAGAGTTCTACAAATGTCTTTTCTCTCCAAGGCAGCACTCCTGATGTGATAGTTATTCTAGAATAACAAAAGTTATTCTTCTGTGTGTTACCTGCTGCTGCTGGTAGATTTGGGATTACAGCTGTTCAAATCCTGAGTCAGAATTTTTGGACTGTAAACTCCTCTTCTGGGAAACAAGCACACCCTTGACCAGGAATACAGAATAGTAGTATACCTCCCATAAAATTGAATCTGTTGTTCTTTAATAAGTCTATTGCATTTAAAGATTTTCTGTTGTAAGATGGAAGTCATTCTATCAGTTTAGTTAAAGTTATTTATTCTTTTCTTGTTACCTAAGATATCCATAGTTTCCTCATCTGTGACAGATAGAAATTGCTCATGATAAACAGGCCTTGCTGGTATTGCCACAGAAGGTGGTGGGGTTTTGAGGAGGGAAGGGGCATAGGCAAGGGGAGAGGGCTGACACAACACAACAAGCTTGGGCTACTTGTTACCCCAAGGCAGAATGATCTATTGCATTTGGACTGTGTAATATAATTAATGAAATGCATCAGAAACAAGAGTGAATTCTAAAATACTGGTAGCTTCTTTAGAAATGCAAGAGTGAAAGCAAGGAAAGACAGGTGAAGGTGAAAGGGAGAAAAAGCAGACTCCATGAAGGGTAGCACTGAAGAAAGGGGTGTTATTTTATAAGGTAGTAATGTGTCTTTATTTTGCCTCTTAGATCAGCTAGTATGGTGATACAAATTGAATTGTGCTGATTTGCACCAACTTGGAAAGATTTTGATACTATTTAGTCTGTTGTGCTTGACTACTTTGCAAAATTTAAGTAAGGAACCTGTTCTGGCTGTAGCTGGTGCAAACCAGTTCTTTCTAGCTCATAGACTGACAAAGTTTTTTGTTTGTTTGTTTTGGGGGGAGCTTCTTGTTTGTTTTGGTGGTGGTTTTTGTTGGTTTGGTGGGGGTTTTTTGTTTCTTTGTGTGTTTTGTGGTTTTTGTTTGTCTGTTTAGGAAATGTTATTTGTAACTCGGTGTCTCTCTTCTTATTAAGTTAAGGATTTATGTCAAATACATGAAACTAAAATGGCTTCCTCCCACCCCCTTCAGATGCTCAAAGACCAATACCTTGGCTACAGGAAAAGCTTTCTGGGAGATGCCATGGATGTGTTTGAGGCAAGACGAACAGAAGCTAAGAAGTGGCAAAGCGCGCCACGTGTTACCACTGGACCGACCCCTTTCAGCAACATACCAAATGCAGCAGCCGTTGCGATGGCTGCAACACTTACTCAGCAGCAACAGCCTGCTACAGGTCTGAGTGCATTCAAGTTATAGATTATTAGCGTTACCACCATAGTAAATTTGTGTAAAATTTTCTATGAAGTCTTCCTGTGTGTTAGACTAAAAATCTAAACGTTGTGATAAGCAAAGTTACTGATACAAAGCCAATAGAAAAATGCAGGGTAGGCTTAGCAATAATTATACAACAGATACTTAATCTTGTGAATTTACTTGTATTAGTGATATTTACTGTATTGTTCTAACTTACCCCTTGGAATGTGAGTCTTCACTCTTAAGTAACATCTCTGAATAGACATAGAATAGCCTCTTTCCAGAAACTGTATTGTTATAGTAAGTTATTTTAAATTGGTGAGAAGAGAATATCTAAATGCTATCTTTTTCTTATGTAAAATTAACAATGCATTTTTATATAGCACTTTGGAACTGTAAAATAAAAAATGCTGCAGAACAGGAAGGATAGTGCAGCAAACCTCTGTAGAATAGGAAGTCAGATGCCTGGCTTATTTTGTAGCCAACTCCTTTGTCAGTGTGGTGTTGGAGCAGTTTTTGCTGGCCATTCTGCTGTTGTGAATAAGTAGTAGAGGAAGTAGAGTGGGTCAGTGGTTCCACTTGTGTGTAAGAGGAAGGCCAAAACAGAGGAAATGTATGACCCACTGCTAATGAAGAATGGATATGTATGGCAAAGGAAATAACTTAAGGCACCTTAATTGACATTGTTATACTAACCAACCCTCTCTGAGAGGGTTTCCAGAATGTAGAGAACTGGCTTAATATGTAATCATTGAACAGAAATGAGATAAATTCCATTTAATTTTACTTCAACATGGATATGTGTCTATGTCAGCAAATTACGAAAAGCATTCATTCTACCATTTATTTTCTAAAATGCTTATCATATGTGTACTGAAAATCATATTACTCCTTCTCTTGTCTTATAACGGCAGTTACATTCTGAATGATTCTAGTTAGAGACTTATGCAGCAATCACCTTAAGTTTGACAAATTATTAGACTGTCCTTGCCTTTTCCTTAAGAGGAAAATATGATGTGCTTCCAACCCTGGCCCTTCTAAACAGCAAGGAGATGGGTTTACATAACAAATATGCCAAAATATTTTGAACACAACAAAATACCAAGTCTTTATGAAATACTTCTCTTCTACATTTCAATTGCAGGCCACAGTCTTTTCGTTGCTACTGTGTTAATCCATGGAAATTTTGTTGAAGTCTAAAAAAATGTATGGTTTTAAATAGAAAAAATGGCATAATGTCACACTTCAGGGTTTTAATACAGATAGGACTGTGGCTTATGCAGTTTAATGTTGCCAAAGTAGTTCACCATTTTCTCCATCCTTTTCCTTGTCTTATATTTGGCTTTTTAAAATCCTGTTCACAGTCATTACAGGATTAGTTGTTTATGAAAGACATAGATATCACATTTAAAAGTCATTCCTGCATTTTCATGAATTGAGGTAAGGGATTTGAAGTATCTGGACTTCCTAGTCCAAATTCAAGGGAGCTGCTGATAACTTCAGTAAACTTATGACACAACTTCGTGAATATTCTCTTAGGAATAGGAGTGAAGAGAGGAGAAAAAAAAAAGGAAGAAAAAAGGCAGAATTGACCTGTACTGACAGAACTGAGGTGACTATACTAAAACATTTTATAGTGAAAGGAGCAAATTCAGAGTGTATGTAGGTTGGTTTGGGTTTTTTTCTTTTTCTTTTTTTTTTTTTGGGTTGTTGTTTTGAACTGAGTATTTCAAAAGCCAAAAATGTACCAACTACAAGAGTGCTGCAGATAGAGCAAGGCCATTAACTTACATCAAACGTGCCAACAGAAGTAGATGACAATTTTTTTTTACTACATTTTTAGTTGGAATACTTTTACCATCCATGCAGCTCACTGGAAGACCTGGAGAAATGGAGATAGATTGATGCTTTAAGTGGTACTTCAAGAATACTTAAAACTCTTAAAAAGTAGGGTTAGAGGAACAGAAAAGGTACTTTGAGTTCCCTCTAGTTCAAAAATAGAATGAGTCAGGCCTAAGCTATTTCAGAGATATCCTGAAGTCCTAAAAGCATGCTAGATGGGAGCATTTCTTAGCTTTCCTAAATTACTGATTTCAGTGCTTGACTTTCTCCCAGCTTCAGATTAAGGCTGCCACTTTCTGTCTTACTCTTAGTGGAAAAGGAGGACAATCTGTTCTTTCAGTTTTGCAGGAATTTTAATTTTCTCTCTTATTTTTCTTTTCCTTTTTTGAGTTTTCAGATGGCCATTTGCTGCAGTAGAACTGCAAATGCTTCATGTTTTAACTTTATATTATGTTATGAATTGGATAAACTATCTGCTAGAAGTTAAAATTGTGATACTTCTTAACAAGATCTAGATCCTGAAGGGTGGAGCAGATGAGGGATAGTAGAAGTTCTGAGAGAAAAGTAGATAGTTCTGAGAGAAAAGGCTGTGAAATGAGGTATATGTAAAGAAGGGGTAAGGGGTGTCTGTGTAATACCTGACCTGCTGTTGCTGTTCTTGAAGAAAAGAATAAAACAAACAAATTAATCTGGCCTTAAAAGTTTTTGACTAAAATGTAATACACGGTACTCTAGTATTGAGAGATCAGGATGTTAGTCTTTTTTAAAAAAGTATTTGATGTTTACATGGTTAAGTCTTTCATAAGATTGTTAGAGTTAGTTACTGTTCTTTCTCTGAAAAAGATAAATAACAATTTCTTTTAAATTTGCTTTCAGAAGTCTAAAGTTTAATAGCTGTATCTAAGCTGTGGGATCAGGGAATACCTGGGTGTAGATATGCACCCTGTGTTCTCTCTGTATGCCAAGACATGTCTGGCTTCCACTGAAATAAATAAAGCCAGTGGATCCTGACCATATGGAAAAAAGGGAGCAAAGATGCACTCCACTGGGCACCTGTGATGGATAATCAGGACACCAGGACTGTGGTGTGCACATTGAAGCACAGTTTTTGTGCAGTTTTTTGAACCTAGAGTTACTAAAATTATGCTTAACTTTGTCTGCATACAACCTTTCTCCCTAGTTTAGCATTTTTGGTCCAAGCACAGCTTTGTTGATAGCAGTGAGGCTGGTCATGCTTTTATACCATAGCAGCTACAGTTTTAAGCTCTTCCTCACCTGCACCTTCCCTGGGAAATCTTGAACAGCATGAAAGTTAAAGTGATGGTGGCTAATCTTCCTATTATTATTGATTGGATTACAGTAAGATTTTTAGAGGAAATTAACACCTAGTGCACTGAGTCATTATGTAGCTCAGTTGGTTAGAGCATGGTGCTAATAATGCCAAGGTTGTGGGTTCGATCCCCATATGGGCCATTCACTTAAGAGCTGGACTTGAGGATCCTTGTGGGTTCCTACCAACTCCAAGCATTCTGTGATATAAATCCATGAGACCTGTAAATGCATGAGGTTGAAACTGATCTTGTACAAGACTAAATTGTTTGAAAGAAAGTCTTTTCTTCAAGCTCGCCTTTTCTGCTCTAAAAATACAGTATCCCCCAACAACTTAGTTACTCTCTCCTTAACTGGTGAAGTACAGAGTTAGTAAGGACTTGATTAAGCTGTTAGCACACTTTGTTATGTTTTGACTTGATTCATATGAGAGTCAAGTGCTAATGGGAAAGGACACTGAAATCCTTATAGCACTTAAAAATTTTATTGTGTAGTTTCATACTAACCTTGGTTAAAATTAACCAGTGTATTACTTTGTCAGAATCAGGTCTAAGTTGTGACACTAAATTTGCTCACTCTTTGGACCAACTGTGATTTAAAAATTGCAGAATGTCACTAGGAAATCTGACTGACCTGTCTAGACTCCCTGTAATGGGTCCTATCCGTTAAACTGAAATGCTCTACAGGGCAAAATATATCAAGTTTGAAAATGTTAAAATACTTGTTTCAAAGATTTTCTCTCGTACCTATAATAACCAGAAGTGCCATTTATTTTTTTTTTTTTTGCTAGTGCTTTTGGCATCAAAGAATCTTACTAGTTTTTTGCTGTTGAAAATTATGATAATTTACAAGAACTATAAGTAGTGATGATACCTTCAGAACATTATGGTACAAAATCAATAAATATCATATGCTGTTGCTCAGTGAAAAGCTTGCTAGCCTAAGGAATAAGATCCTGTTTTATATGATCTGAGGTGTTTTAGTATAATGTTTTTACTGGGTCTAAAAAGCATGTTGCATTTGGTAAAAAGCTTGGCCTGGAGGACTGTAGTGATTTGTGTAAAAGGTCTTCCACTAACAGTGCCTCCTACTGAGATAGAAACCTGTGTACTTGAGAAGGAACTGGATATGTGTTTTTGGATTCTTTTAGTTTTATTAGATTACTGACTTGTGTAGGGGGGGTTGTTTTTTTGTTAACAATTTTTTTCTTATTTTTAAAGAGCTGCTAGGTAGACGTATCAGTATTTAAACTGGATGTAAACGACTTTAGTCTGAAATCTATGTGAAATTTTGTAATTGCAACATCTGGTATACTTTTTTTAAGTTGAAAAAAATAGCTTGGGTTTCCCAACTATTCCCTGCTAAGCAGAGACTGAAAGCTAACAACTTTAGTTGCCCTTAAAATTTAGTTTTAACACTACTTGGAGTATATGGATGTTATTCAGCTGGGATCAAATAAGAATTTTTGTGTTCCTAGCAAAAAAATGTTACTTTTCAATATACAGTGCCTTTCACTTGATTCAAAATGATTTTCCATTTAAATATTCAAATACTGAAATTATTTTTAAAGCTTGAAATATTCACATTTTAAAATTCTGTGTAAATACTACTAATGGGAAACTTTGTAGTACAAAGGAAGAAATTTTGAATGAATGTAGCCCAAGTGTGATAATGGTTTAGGAAAAAGGCTGAAATCATCTGAGCTTTATAGTAATATTTGAATAAATCATCACTTTCACAGATACAGTATGTAAAGTATGTTCAAAGATGAAGAAGGCTATCTTGAGCAAGGTGTGGATGTCTGTGGATTAAGAGTTTGGCACTGTATTTTATCTTCAACGGTTAAACTTTTTAAATAGTGCACTGAAAACTGTTTGAAAAAGACAGGAATATAAGATTGTACTGTGAAAACTGTCAAAATATATTAATTATTTATCAGAATTAATTATTTTAAAATGTGTTAGTAATGGGCTAGCTGGTTGACTGTTTATTCCCCAAATTTAAGGAGGAAAAAAAAAAAAAGGAACTGAGGCTGTAAATTTCATCTTGGCAGACTGAAATTGTTTTTTGACAGTCCTGCATCTTATTGTGTATATGCAGGGAAAATACTGTCAACGTTTTTAAATTATGGAACAAACTCTGAAATTTTGAATGTATCTAATTCATTAAGGTACACAGAACTGTGCCTTTTGTAAATGCTTATTTAAACAAGTGGTTTGACTAGTTGACCTTATTGAATGGTGTTATGTAGCAGAGCTTAACAGAACTCAGTTATCACTTGTGTGGAAAAAAAATGAATTGTCATGTTACTGTGTACTTGACTTGCTTAAAAATGAACAATAAATTTAATAAAATAAAGTCATTGTCTTGTTTTTTTATCTCAGTGCTCTGTTTAAATTTGGTTGGAATATTAAGTAGTTTTGAAGAATCTTATTTATGAAATTAACTTTAGGTAATACAGTTTTAGTTACATTAGGGTCAGTTCTTTAATTTTAAGGTTTTCCCTTACTCTGATTCCATTAATAAGGTGGCAAAATATTGTCACCCGTGAGTTATCTCAAAGTTTTGATTAATGTTTTAAAGTTTAAGGTGAGACTGGTTAACTTTAAAAATACTAAATTATGTTCTTATGTTATTAGTTTTGATTAGTTTCACCTTCTTACAATCAGTGTTTTCTTAGATTTTTGCTAGGTGAATGTAGAGTCAGTTAGTTAAGTGAGAAATTTTAATGAGGTAAAATTTGGGATCTTAATGGGAATTGTTGAAAGCAATGATGTTCACATTATCAAATACTTGAATAATTAAATAAAGGACCTCTTTACTGTGAAAGAGTAAGGCAAGTTTGTTCTCATTTTCTTTATACCAGGGCCACAGCCATCTCTGGGAGTTAGTTTTGGAACGCCATTCGGCTCAGGTATTGGCACTGGCTTGCAATCAAGTGGCTTAGGTTCTTCAAGCCTTGGAGGTACACTTTAACTTTTCTAATCTTTCATTGAATTTATACCGCACATCTGAATCTCTTGCAAACCTTTAACTCCACTAGGAGGATGATCTGTTTCAGGGAAGGACTTTAAAATTTGGGACGTCTGTGCTTTCCAGGCTTCTTCCTGCCTTGCAGAAGGAGTTGCTAAGGCTAAGCCATTGTAGTAAAAAAACAGGGTAAACAGGAAGAGGTAATAACATAGAAGTGGTGCTCTTAAAGCTAGGGGAAGTATATCAAGTACATGCATTTGTAACTACAACTTGACTTAATTTTACATATACGAAAGTTATACACCTGAGACATTAGACCATCCGTGGAAGTTTCTCACTTGTGAACTATAGGGACCCCTTTCTGCTTGGATTGAGAATAAATCTTAAAAAATTACTACAGTTCTGGGATTCTGCTTGCTGAAACGGATTTGCTTTAGCAGTTACTCTGTGCCTCTGCTGAGGTGGAAAAAAAAAAACCTTCCGGCTGAAAAAACATTTGAAAGTGAGGGAAAAATACTTACCAAAATATTAATAATGCTAGTGGGGAATATATTCCAGGAGGACACATGACTGTGAAAGAGTAGGTGGTATTAAAAAAGTTATAAAATTAATGTAGACCTTTTCATTTAAATGTAACGTGTTATAAGTAGTAGAATTACAGAGAGAATTTAGGTGATTAGTAGAAGCTAATATGCATATAAATTTCCTATCTATGTAGGTCAGGGGTTACTACAGACGCTAATGTCCTCTGAAGCTTTTGTAAGATCTGCAAAGAAAATTGATACATCTGCTGAGCCCAAACATAACGTGTTGTGGTTTTTCTTGTTACATCCTCTCTTCTCTGCAGCCTCAGTCCACACTCCTACATTTTGCCTATGAGCCAAGCATATGAATTGGTGGTGTAATGTATTTAAAATAATTAAACATCACTCGGTATTGGAAAGGTGATGTAACTTAAACATTACATGAGTTTTACCTTAAATAATCACTTTCAAATTATCTTTAAATCTACCAGTGTCCTCTCTCTTCAGCTTTTAAAGCTTTTTCAGATAGAAGAAAATCTGTGTACACTTAAACAAGAAAAAAAAACAGAATAGTGGGCTAAAATGAAATTACTTCTGAGTTACCAGTTTTTTCCACAATATTTTAAATGCCTTAAAAAAGTCCCTATAAAATTCTTCCATTTCTACAAAAAACATTATAGACTTAAGATTGTTCACCAGTCTTACCAATGTAAATAAAAGAACATTTTCAGCTGCTTCTCGTTTTGTCAGAAAAAGCTGAATTGTATTTTTTTTTTCCTAGTTATCTGCTTAGGAAGGTGTTTGCTTGCATTATTGCTTTGCAAAATGTTTGTCTTTTGATGAATCTAAAAGAATATCTGATAGAAACAAGTAGAAGAATAAATACGTACCTGCAAAATAGCCTGTAGGTGTGTTCTTGGAAACAAAATAGCAGAATGATTATTAATTTTGTTTGTTTCTTTTTTTTAATCTTAGGGGCTTGGGTTTTTTTGAATGGGACATTTTTTAATATATACTCTGGAACCACAACTTTAGTTGGGGAAATTTGCTCTTTTGATTAATTTTCTGAGAATTTTGTCAGTGATAAACAGAGGCTTTTGCATTTAAGTATATAAGTTATGTAGCATAGATCCTATGCTTTGTTAAATATTTGCAGACACCTTACCTGATTATTGGTTATCAATTTCAACCTGGATAGGACAAAAGAGTGTATCATTTAAATGAACTATCTTACATTCAAATGATACTTGCCATTATATACCTTTAAACCTCATTTGATTTAGAAAATTTCAGAAAACTAGGGAACACTGCCTCAGATAGTGTGGTCAATCCTTACTAGTCTTAAAATACCAAAATTATTTCTGTAAAGGAATAGTAAAGGCTCAGTTTGCAGTAAATGAAAGGATTTTCTGTGACACTTGAAACTTAAGATGGGGGCATAATTTGCTCATACAAATACTGTTCTCTTTTGGAAAAGCTCTTGAGACAGACAAAATCAGAGAATATAGTTTTCTTACAGTTTCTGTTGTCTGGCCTCTATCTCAAACTGCAAGTATCAATTTACTTTTCTTTTGAAGTGATCTTGTATTAATAACATGATTTGAAATCTTTAAAAATTATATTATGAAATTATAATATATATACATGTATAATATATATAAAGGTCAATTACAAAATTATCAGAATGAGCTTCAGAACAGCTGTATGTTTATGGCTGTCCATTATATGATGATTTTTTGCATTAAAAATTTTGTTTCTCTTCTCTGTTTAACCTATTTAGTAGTTTCCTAGATAAAGCTAATCTCCAATAACCTGGAAGAGCCATGACATTAAAATAAACGAAATGAAAACTGGAAAAAATGTTTACTCTGTTTCAAGCATAATTTTTCTCCCAGAGTTGTAGATGAAGATTATGGTTTTCTGTAATAGAAGTGATATAACTTGTATCTGAATTTTCTTAGTTTTAGCCCATTTGGTTACCATTTTCTTGCCAATTTAACAGCAATTCAGTAGAAATTTCTTAAACTCTGATAGTTTACAACACCTGTTTTTATAACTTTTCCTTTACTCAGTTTTGGATTTTGAAGGTAGTGTTCTTCTCTAATGCTTTCCACTTTGCGCTCTTTTCTTAATGCAGTGCTGTGTTGAGAATAAAACACTCTTGAGGCAGTAATCTTAGGACTATTTGTTTACCAAATAATGCTTAGTATTATGTTTGGTTTTAAACTACTTACCCAAAACATATGTGTCTTTAATTGCTGTGTCTGATTTTTTTTTATTGTATGTCTTTACTATTATTCTACTAGGATTTGGAAGTAGCTCTGCATTTGGAAGTAGTGCCACAGGAGCATCATCATTTGGGTTTGGATCTACAAGTAAGCCATCAGGAAGTCTAAGTGCAGGTTGGTTTTTTCTTCTTTTGAATTTGAAATTTGAGGTTGTCTTAAAGCAGAAGTCATAATCAAACTGCCGCTCTCAGTCTAGGAAAGCTACTGAAACTAATGTGCTTAAAGGTGCACATGTATATCCCCAGTGAAGTAACTGTTTACTTACTAAATACACCATGTGCAGATCAGGTGTACACCAGGTTCTGTTAAAGGTCTCCTAGGTATACAGTATTGAGTGAGCATTAATGTTTCCCTTTTGATGGTGTCTTTCCGATTAGGAGTGGAAGCAGGAGATCAGATGCATCAGATTGGATCAGATGCAGTCTGAGGCAGAGAAAAGCAGTGGCTACTTGAATGCATTGGCAGCAGTTACTGAGCTATTGAAATTACTATATGAATTTGTGACAAATATACCAGTAATTTGACTTACTGTATTTACAAGTAAAGTTAAAATTCTTTTCTGGAAACCCAGAAGGTTTCCTTTAAAATGTATAACTGCTTACTCTTTCTTTTTAAATAGTAAGTTATGCATATTTTATCTCTGTATATATTCATAAATCATTAAGTGAACTACTTTGAAAACATTTCTGTGGAAATTGAACTACACAGCATTCCTTTTGCTTTTTTGTTTTGTTTTCATTTTTTTGGGGGTGATAAAATTAAAATATGGATCCTATTGCTCTGAAATCTTAGTAACTTCTATAGCTTACATCTCTATTTAACTTTTAAATAGGAGTAATAGCTTACTAAGCTATTAGTAAGTAAATATATTACTCCAGTCTGTTTTGCAATCTCTTTTTCAATGGCAGATTGAAGGAGGATCATGTCTCCTGGGATTGGCTTTTGGTAGCATGTTTCTTTTTTATAAGAAAAGTGTTTGTTTAATGGCTATTAATACAAAAATAGCATTTTGCTAGTGTTTATTAGGAAGTGCTATACTTTTTGTTCTGGATTTTCCTTGGTTGGTGATGAGTTGCGTGGCTTGTAAAGTATCATGAGCTTTGTATCATAAGGTGGAAATGGCTCACTAAGCTGGTGTAACATGAATGTGTAACAATCTAGTAAATTCTTGATAGAACTTTCTTTTATTTTACAGTATACAGTGTATATGCATCAATCTCATACTTTTTTTTTAATATCAGAAACACCTGAAAGACTTAGACTGTTTATGTTTTTATATTGTTACTTATTTTTCCTGAAACCTATATTAAATTAACTAGTCTATGTATTATTTATATAATAATAATTCAGGCTGACGAAGTACAAAGTTCGTAATTTAGTTGTTAGCATACTAAAAATAAAATTAGAAAACCAGTAGTATGGATCAGTTCTCCATCACTGAGGAAGTACTAGAGTAAATAGCAAGTCTGCCTCAGCTGTGTTGGTCGTGTGCAGAGGCAATTTTAGGTATTACTTCCTTGTATGCCTCAAACCAGGCTTTCTCATGGTGCCAGTGCCATCAGTCTCTCGTTTG